AAAAAAAAGGTGATTGTGCCCGTTCATTTCCTTTCCTATGTGATATAAATTATATGGTAAATTAATCATAATTAACAACTTCGAAACATCGACGAGTATTTTCTATATCGTAATATCACTGTCACTAACGTCAGGTGTAACATCGTATTTATTACACTATGGCAGTGTATTTTATTGTTTTTTTTTACTGTTCTACTAGAGAGTATTTATTCGTGACATATGTGCGATACAATGTATGTAACTATATTAATCCAGTTATCATTACCTGTAACGTACGTCATTGAAAGTTATACTATTGTTATGCTTGCACTGTATCGGAACCTTACGATGTTGGTGTATTGCAGTGTAAAATGCTGTCTCGTATTATATGTCATTTTGAAGTACTGCACGATTAATGAATATTATTGTATACATGTATCATTGTAAATTTGTAATATACTGTACTATTTGTATGTCTACTCGCCGATGTGTGTTACACAAGGAATAAAACAATCTGAATCTATCTGAGACATACTACCAATTAAGTATTGAAGGTTAAGAGAAGCAATGACCCAGGTATACAAGTCTTGACTAAGACATACTACCAACTAAGTACAGAAGGTTAAGAGAAGCAATGACCCAGGTATACAAGCCGTGACACAGTACCTATTACCACCAAAACATACAAGACTAAAAGAAACGATAATACAGTATATACACAGCGACACAATACGTTCAAAAATATTTTCATCCCGCCTTTGTTGGCTATCATATGTGCTGTAGTATTCAAGTGAGGTTGAGTTTACTCAGATGTGCTTGAGTTAAGCTGCATCAAGTTTTTCCTGATTGCGGTGAATAAAATGTCCTAGATGTAAAAAAAAAACGTTTTACAAGATAAATAGGGACTTTGTAAAACTTTGGTTAGAAACATATCTCGCTCCTAGAAAGATGTATACGAATCAAATTATCTCCCAAAATAAAAGGCAAACAGTGGCATAAGTGATTATATATAGTGTTAAAACTCATATCGGAACTGGATTGCAGTTGGCTGCTTATTCAATAATTGGCGGAAAGATATGACAATTTCTGCCTGAGATATGTACTATAGAGCTTGTTTGAGTAAACTGATCAGATTCAAGATGTTTCATTCACAATAAAAAAAATATTAAATGAAAAAAAAAAAGCAACTGCTATGGTGAGAACACATTCCCAATCCCTTTTTAGCGGTTTTGCGAGTTTGTCCTTGTTCTTAAATCGAGTTGATACAGATTGCTCTATTTGCTTGGTTGAAATGATTATTTTCTTTAACAGTCTCTTATTCTTTAATAATATTTCGTTGGTATTTAAGCTTTACTTTATTTTACAACAATCATAAAACAAGTCTTGTTAACTGTTGTTGGCCCGATTGGTAGCACGCAGGATGTCTTAACAGATTTTAGTTTTTGTTTTGTCTAGCTCATGTGTATTTCCTATCTGTAATTTTCGTACCTGTGTAATATATATTAGCCGATCACGAGTTGTGTGACGTCCGTCCCGTGATCTTTGTAGGTTCATTCTCGAAATCTAAGGGTCCCATTCTCGATATGTACATCTTTTCTACACCCTTTTAATTTATCACGACAAAATCGAAGGCTCTTTCCGTGAAACTTTGTGGATGATATACAAGAAGGTAAGTCTGACTGATCAGATTAATCGCGCGACGGCGCGCGTAGGTGAAATCGACATGCTTTTACGTTGAAAATAGCTCCTTTGTAGACTTTGAAAAGCCAGGTATAAGCCTAGCGATTGGTCAGGTTTGTATACGTCTGCCAAAAGACGGGACGGGACGTATTATGTTATCACGTTGGAGGGCGGGTGGCTGGACACCGGGTGCTCTTGGTGTCCGCTCGATATCTTCTTATTAACTTTTAACAGATTAAATTCAAACTTCACAAGAAGTTTTATTACCATAACAGCTCAGACAAGTTCGATAACCCTGAATATCCGACGGTAACTTACGGAGTTGAGGCCCTTTACCACTTTCCGAAACAGTGACCGCTCGATATCTCGAGTTATTGATTACGGATTAACTTCAAACTTCAATAGAAGGTTCATTACCATATTAGCTCGGACAAGTTTGATAACCGTAATATAGGACTGCAATTTACAGAGTTATGGCCTTTTATTCAATTTCCAAAAGGTTTTCAATAGATTAACGTCAAACCTCATAGGAAGGTTAACGTTCAATGCCATGATAGCTCTGACAAGCTCCATAACCACCATTGTCCAACTGTAATTTATGGCGTTATGGCCTTCATGTACAACCATACAGACCACTGCTCATTCAATGTATGGCAGGTGTACTATCTGCGGCCTTCGCTGTACCCTTGCTATACCTGTAACCAATCAAACAGCTTACCGTCTGCCTTCAAAGTACAGGATTTAAAGTTTATCTTTATAACAAAGACAGCACTATCATTCCAAGAGTCTTAGGTATATGCTAACATTAAAATACTTGCGTTGAAATTTGATCATGGAACGCCCTAAAAGTGGCAAATCGTCAGTGATTGACCAAATCACTGTCCACCGGACCAGCTCTTCTCCTTTCTCCACCAAATCCAGCAAAACGACATTTCTGCTGTTGTTGCTAGTGGTTGTACAACTCCTTTTGGTCTTTTTCCTTTTTGCAAATTGCTTCAAACATCATCCACATGGATTTTGCAAGGAAACCACTTCACCCCATCTGAACAGGCGAAAAACCTCACACTCCCTTTGCCTCACTTTATCAGTGATGCTGGCATACCTTCCTTTCTTTGGTTCATCAGCCTCCTCACATAGCTCCTCCCAGGGAACTGTAGGCTATTCTTGCCTTCCTCATTCTATAACCCGAGAGAATATTCGGGCATAGATTGGTTTGTATGATCTCTGGGAGACCAGTTTTTATCTTAAGTCCACACACTTCTCCAAACTTTAAGCTACATCAAGTATCAGTCCCTGGTGAACTGCTTCTCTTTTCAGATCTGCAAAATTTGATTTAGGGTCATTCTTTCATATATCTCCGCTTCTTATGTCTTCAAACTTTCAGTGTGTCAGCTAGTGCCCACAAAACCTTGTAAACTTACATTACACCCGGTTCAAAGCGATACTAGTGAAACATGCTTTTATCTTCCAAGGCATTTGCTGATCTGCCCCTCAATACCTTCAGGTGTAGTCATGGTGACTGCTGACAGTATGAGAGGTCAGGTCAGGCAAGGGAGTCTATCTTCCTTAAACCCTCCTTAACCTGGGTCTGCATCTAATTAATATTCTTGCCATCATCCAGGATTGCATTGAAGCAATTCTCCAAATGCTATATTGGATTGTCCACGATCATTGGTATCTCCTCCTGCTATATTGAGACCTTGAACTTTTCTGACCACTTTTCTCTCTTTATTAAACTTTTTCAAACAAAATAGGACACTGATCACTCTTTAGCATGTGGCACAGTGGTGAACTATCTAGTCACTTGTTACTGACTTGGCTGGAGGGAGAGCACTTTCATAACCAACTGTAGTCCTGAGTTTGAATCCTACCATAGGCAGTGTACGTACATTGTACATGTATAATAAAGGTATCAAATAAAAAGAAGAAAAGTGTTGTTTTAAATTGTTAATTGTGATATATTGAGTTCGTACAAATTGTATATACAATTATACACATATGTAAAAGATGTGGATTAAATAGGTTGCCTTACAAGCGTCAGCTGTAGGGAATTTCCCTTTAGCTCAGCGGTAGAGCATTGGGCTGAAGAGCCAATGGTCGCGGGTTCGAGCCCCAGCGACGGCACTATTTTTATCACTATTCCTCGTCCTATTACAAATTAGTGCTGTTGACCCTCCCCATTTAAGGTAGGAGAACCCTTGGCGGGGAGTCAAAGAACCTGGGTTGGTGTTTGAAAAAAGGGGAGAATAGTGTAAAAGATGTGGATTAATTAGGGTCAGCTGTAGGGAATTTCCCTTTAGCTTAGCGGTAGAGCATCGGGCTTGGGAGCCAATGGTCGCAGGTTCGAGCCCCAGCGACGGCACTTTCTTTATCACTATTCTTCGTCCTATTACACATACTTGGTATTGAATACAAAAAACAAATCACTTACTTTGTTCAATAGAATGAGTTTAGTTTTAATTCCACAAACATTTGCAGAAAATACAGTTGTTGGCATATAAAGAATTATAGAAGTTGATTGACTCTGCAGTATTTTTTCAGAAATTCAACTTTTTGTGGGTATTTCTGAAGAAAAAACATCTAAATCAGAATGACGATCAGCTATAAACATATGACAATTAAAGATTATGATCAAAGACACAGACCAATGTGCATAAATAATACTGTATTTTGCAAATCTTTCAACATATTGAATTGTTCACTTATTTCAAAAGTATTGACACCACGATCATAAAACAACAATTAACATGATTTTGGGGGGGAAATGTGGCAAAATGTTAGGAAACATATATCAACTACATGCAAAATATGATTTATGTCTGCTCACCCTTGTCTAGCATTAACTGTGAATATCTTATAGTATGGACTTCTTTCAAACATATAGTCCCTAACAGACTTTTTCATGCTGACTCAGCATGCTAGTCTAGTTTGACTGTATGTTATAGTTTCATGATCAGCTGTCTGGCTGGTTGCTAAAAAAAAACTTTGATATAATCTGATTATATGTTTCACTTTCAACTGTCTGGTTTGCCTGCTACATTTTCAACTGTCTGATTGTCTGCTGCACTTTCTATTGTCTGTTTTGTAATGACACTTTCTGCTGTCTGACTGGATGAAGCACTTGCTGCTGTCTGATTGGATGTTATACTTTCTGCTGTCGTCTGATTGGCTTGATTTTGATTGGTTGATGAAGGACTTTCTGCATTTTCACCGGTCCTTACTGGAGATGAGAATGGTAGGTTATTGGCATTGATGAGTAGGGTGACTGGAAACACACCTGAAATGAGAACAATAAGGATATCCATGTACACTACTTTTGAACAATTAAAGAAAACAATTAATTAAAAAAAAAAAGTAACTGGTTTTTCGGTCATTACACAATCAGTCTGGTACTTAATTTATTATTTCTTAATGAAATCAAATGTAAAGTTCAATATTTAATAATAATTATACCCAAAATGTATATAGCCCCCTATATAATTTGAAAATTAAATTACTCTACTAAAGTCTTAACAGCACATGAAAGAAATTATTCCTGCAGTGACAGTTATAAATATAGTAGTTCATATAAAAACACATACAAATCAGAACAGATGTATATTTATTCAGATGCATCTATGAATAAGGGATATAAATCTGGATCTTGTTAATTTCCCAAATTGAAATTCCAATAATTATATACAAATTATTTCAATATAAATAAATGTTAAGATTTTTATAAAGGAGAATTATGTCTTTGTGGCTTTAATTATGAAATTAGAATTAACCATGTTTCAGAATTCAAATCTTCACACTTAAGGCTTACATTAATTTCAAAGTATAATAGATGCAACATATTTAACATATATGTTGATCAGCTGTTAAAATACATTTCTCCCACAACCCTATAGGTTTCCTCACTCCCGATTCATTGGATAAACCTGCTAGGAGATGGTAAACATTTTTGGTTACCCACAAGTGGGTAACACCCTGGACATGATTTCATTGGTCAATTTTTTACTTATGACGTTATGTCACAATGCTTTGCGACGTCATCTTCCATTGTTACTTCATGATTCACGGAAATTGTTTCCTCCATCAGAATCTGACAAAGTGTATTTTCAAGGGAAACATATGGCTTTCCAGATAAAATATTAACGTTATGGGAGAATAAGGACCCCCAACTTGTGATGGTAGGTTATCATTTTTATCTAACTCTCGTTAGTTAATTTTCAAATTGTAAAAGACACTTGGTAAGCCTTGTGCCTTTATACAATTTGAAATTAACCAACTCGAGTTAGATAAACATGATAACCAACCAGGACTCATTGGGGGACCTCTATGTCACTTCCTACTGACTCAGCAACGAAGAATTTCTCTGTAACTCATCGGGTAGTGCACCTGACTAGTAAACAAGAGGTTCTGAGTTAGATCCCTACCATAGGCATTAAAACAACAATTAAAATGACCTCTGTTACACGCGCATGATGTGTAAACCTTTACTGTACTGACCTTCTTGGTTGGGAGCTCCAGGGGCCACCGGAGTAGAACTTTGGGCAAGCTGGTCGACAGGAATAGCAAACAACACATGACCTGCAAACTCGGGATGTGTAAATGGCATTGCCACATTGGAGGCCGACACTGTTGTCATGGGTGAAAGACCACCGATTGCAACAGGGCTCGACTTGAAGTGTACAGGATTTGATTTCTGGGGAGACGGAGTGCCCATTCCGGGGAATACAGTAAAAGGTCCTGTTGTTGTGGATGACTGCAGTCCTGTTCCCCAGGGAATGCTCACAGGAGTTGACTTAACAGGTCCTGCTGTCAAGGGTGTCTGTATTCCTGCCTCCTGTAGAACGGTTGTGGAATTTGACTGAACTGGTGTCACAGAATCTGTCGTCCTTTCATCAACTGTGCCCATATCTACACTGTTTCCGTTAGAATTTCCTGTCTTTTCAGTTCTCATTTTCTTGGGAACACTGGGTCCTGGAGAGTTTTGTTCAGAGGATTTCCTGGATGTTTCGTTGTTGTAGTTGATCCCTTGGAAGCTATTGTCCATATCTAGTGGTGTCACACCCTCTTGTGTCAGGGGTCTATCAACCACTGAGGTTAATTCAGAACCATTCACATCAACACAAGGTTTACCCTTCACAATTGGCTCTAGTTTCTCTTTTCCCACAACAGCACTATTATCACTTTGGTCCTGCATTCCACTGCTATTTTCAGAATTGTTAAGACTTTCGTCCTGTATGACATTATCTTGTCCTAAGATGTATGGACTAAATCCCCCCAGATTGGGAAGCTGACCTTGGCTCTGAACAGTTCCAGTCACACGCCGATTTTGAATCTTGTCTCTCATCAACCCTTGACCTGGACCCACCTGGTCATCTTCCCTCTGGTAGAAATTCTCAAGTTTCACTTCTACACTCATGTCCAATTTCTCAATGTGGACTTGTGGTTCAGGCATTGATGCCGGTAGAGGTTCCGGCATAACAACATTCACTTTTTGAGCGAGTCTGGAACTTTGGCGTGTTGGATGCAATCTTTTCTTCAGTGGCTTTGACTTTGTATTCAAATCATTCACAGAAATACCTACGAGTAAAAAATAAACCATGCATCAAGATCCAGTTCTATACTTAGTTTCCCCTATTCTTCAATCGCACTGCATACAGGGTGGTATCAAACCAGACAAGGGATAAAAGGGACCAACCGAACCTAAATAAGACAAACAGCGTTGGCTCTAGATCTATCCCTGGAACCAAGATGCATTTTGAAATACATATCTATCAAAATTATTAGTAAACAAGAGTTCCATAGGGCTGATTTTGCTAATTAATTTATTTTAAGTCACCACGGCTAGAAATAGTTTGAACTTTACAGATGACATACACCTCTTTACAAAATAAGTGGACAAACCGTTTGGACCAGGTGACATTGGCAAATATCTAGAGGACTATCAACGATTAAAGTATGCACTTAGATTGTATAACAGCCGTGTCAAACATTCAAGAAACATTAGGCAGAAAGTCCATTTGATTTGGTCCCCACCCTATCTTGCATAATATCTTTAACAGTGAAGACAACTTCTATCACAAGACTAATGTGAGATCTGAATCCTTACAGTGGTTAACGTTTCTTCCAAAGTTCGCTGCACTCTATCACTATTTTGGTAACAGGGCCTGTGGCTTTTGAATTTGGAAACTTGTTTTGCATTAAACAAATTGAAATAAGGAATTTTCCTTACCAGGGTATTTCTTTTTTCGTTTTACAAAGTATCAGCTAAAAGACTAAGACGTCCCTAGTTTTGAAATATTTGTATTTGAGATGTAAAGTATTGCAATCCATCTGAGTACAAGAAAAACATTTCAAAACAGGGAAACTTAAACAGAGTTTAAAATATTTTTTTTGTTATTTTCTTTTTGTTATTGCGCTTTTTTCAGTTGGGAATCAGGAAAAACTTTAACTCCAAAATGGCCCTAAAAAGCTCTGATATGAAGGTTTTGTGCGATAATGAACACCCCCCCAATATAAAATGTAAGTTTGGTGTTACATTAAGTACTTTCCTTGGCTACGTACTGTTGGTGTGACACAAGTTAGCCTTAAATTTGTGTGATGTTAGTTTGATGCTACTATTTGTGGCCAGTGATGGCTGATTTTTCGCCCAGTTACAGAGGAAATTATAATTACAATATTTCCAGTGATAACGACAGTATATCTAGTAGCTACGTATATATACCCTGCTCACGCAGCTCCTTGTTGAGGCGCTTGGCTACCATCCTCTTGCGTGTGATTTGCTGTCTGTGTTCCCTGTCCATTAACTGATGGCGATAGAAGAATTTACCGTTAGCACAAGGGTACCTGTAACATATTATTAATCAAACATCAGGATTAATGCAGTTTTTCTTACTTTCGATACATAGGGCAACTGGAAATAAAAAAGACCAGCTTTGGGACTGATAAATCCATATATCCTGTAGACAATTACCAATCATCAAGTGTAAGACTATCTGGGACTAGAACAATCTTCCACATCCTTGGGGGTAAGATTGGGGAATCTCAACTCTCGGGGGAAGATTCCAAAGTAACTATACACAAGGCTTGCAGAGTGTTTAGCAGCTTAAGAATCTTTCCCTGAGGAATGAGATTCCCCTATCTTACCTCAAGGGGAAGTGTTCCTTTATGAATTGGATTGAAATGGATTGAAATTGGGAATATATTCCCTTCCCTCCAATACCACAACCTCTGACATAAACAACACCAAAATAATAATTCAATTATTTATGTATGGAGCGCATAATCGCTGACAGTATATACACATCAAACTCGCTCAAATTTCTCACATTTCCGTACCTACATCATGAATTCACTTAAAACCATTCCATCAATTCTTTACGAGATTCGAAAAATTCTTATAAAGAAGGTGTACATTTCTTAATAAAAAACAAACCCCATGTGTACTGTCGGTGCGACTATCGCTGAATGACCCGACAGTCACATACTGCACACCCAGCACGTGCGATACCCGACTTCAATGCCCTCTATCAGAAGGTATGACACTGAAGGGAAAACAATTGTCGGTTTATTCTGTTCCATCAAACCCCGAAAATTATATCTTTTTGTTGTTTTGGGGGAAATAATGCACTTTTTAGCTAGGGGAAACAGCCTGTATTTGGGAGTAAAACTGAGCAAAATAATCACTGAGGGGGTAAATACTTCTTTTTCTCATATACTATTGACCCAGTAACATACACTTTACAGGCTCAATGCATCGTTGATGTGACATTCATGCATTGTGGACTGACATCATTGCATTTTTGACGTTGCATATATACCCCCCCTCCCCTTGTCAACACTTGGCTTCACGTGAGACAAGGAAATCTTGAAAAATCAAGGAAAAAGTATGGACACACCTATTCGAGGTAAGAAGAATAACAAAGTCATAACCACAGCTGACAAACCTTTGGGTTACAACATACCCGAAAGTGATACATGACATATCATCTTTCCATGATAAACTTATCAAAACTGCATAAAATTATTCCGTAATTCAGAAGGTAAAAGTCACATATGCAGTTTATTGTTTTGACACCTTGCGTTGACCTTGGTTTTAACATAAATAAGGTTTAAGTTTTAATAATGTCACCAATGAAAACAGGATAAAGGACAGAGTGATCAAAGCCCTTTTTAAAACTAGGCATACAACTATACACCTATGCAAACGTTCTCACGCTCAACTTAAGATTCTATGCTCAAGCCTGATTTCTTATTCCGTTGATAAATCAATAAAATCTTACATTTTGTGAATGATTTGGAAGAATGTTAGAGAGACTGTTAAGTTTTCACTTGACATTTGGCTGTGTCACGTGATCTAAGAAAGTTAGAAGAATGTATGTTTGAGCATATAGAATCCATTCTTGAGCATGAGCACAGTTTCATGAATATATGTCCAGGAAACAGTTGATAAGGTTTCCTGAACTTTTATTTTATTGCACTTTTGTTTAGAGAGGCTTTGCCTCTTCACAGGCTATGATGCTTTATATGAAGTTTGTTACCTGATAATTAAGTTTATGAAGAAATATGATATTTATGAAATATATTGTTCATTTCACAGTATCTGCTTCTGCCTTCTTACCTTTTCCTTTTCGTCTTTACCAGTGCACTTTTCACCTTGGCCGCGAAAGCATTTTCTCCCGCAGCCAGAAGGTCCCCCATATCAATGTCTGGTTCTGGCTGTGCTGGCCTACTTGCCAGGACTTTCTTCCGCTGGTTTATCCTCACTTTTTTACCTGATATTTGACTACTGAAACCTTGCTGACTTGTGATGTCACCAACCTGTACAGTAGATAACAAAGCTGGCCATGTAAACAGACCTTCAAACCGCTTCTGGAGCAGCTGGAAATCAGACGTACTTCTGATGTCACTCAGTGGGTCTTTCAGCGAGGTAGTTTCACTGCTATCCTTTGTGAAAGAGTTCTTGTATATATGCTTTGCTCCACGCACCACAGCAGCACTGGAGCTATTCTTGAATGAGTCCAGCACATTCTTTATCAGACTTTCATCTTCTTTCACTTCCTTGTATTGTGAAGGAATCGGTGAGGATCTCTTCCTAGTCAGATTTTGATAGTACTTATCATTATACATGGACCCTGCACTGGCTATGAGGAGCTGGCGCTGAACGAGAAGTCCAGCGAATCCCTCTAGGTTCTTCACTCCTGGGGGGAGCAACGGGATGTTACTCGGGGTAGGTGTTCCGTGTTTCTGTACAACAACAACCCTGGCGGGCTGTGCAGTAGCTCCTTGGCTAATAATGATACTGGCACTAGCCGAGGTTGTGCTAACAGGTACACTGCCAGTGCGTGACTGCGTTGACTTTGGTTCAATCCTGGAAACTGTTTTAACAACTGGTTGCCCAGGACCCACTAAAACAGAACCTGCTGAACTATGTTTCCGGCTTACCACTGTTTGTTTATAGAGTCCTTGTGAACCAGAGTGTGCTGCTGTTCTTAAATCTGTGATTTGAGGACTTGAAGTTGAAGTGTTTCCACTGACAGCAGCACTGGATTTCTGGATACTGGTCTGAGGTACAGATCCTTGTGGAGCGGTTGGTTTGACAATAGTCACAGTTTTCCCACCTTTTGATCCAGAACCTCTATCCCCACTTGAGAGTTGAGGAACTCCCTTGGTTACAGACACTGTAAGCCCCTGTAGTGAATCCACTGCCTTCGTAACAGCTTCTGGAGCAGGCCGTGGCCCTTGAATAGCATTACCTGAAGAGATGACCTTTTGACCTTGAAGGCAATTTGATGCAAGCTGTGCTCTCATGGATGCTGGCATTGGTGGGAAAAGTTTCTTCAACATTATGAAGTTATCCTTCTCTGATTGAGACATCTGGTTTTCTGGTTTTCTCTGGGCATTTTGCAAAGCCTTGTGACCATTGACTTCAAGGGCCTGGGCAACAGGAAACAAAAGGATACTCAATATTATCTCCTTGAATTTATCCTAACTGGTCTTGAAGGATTTATCTTCCATAACCTAACTGTTCAAAACGTCTTTATAGGATTCAGGTATTTTCACAGGCAGAAGTAATGTCACAACTTGATCAAGATACAGGATATACACAAGGCTTGTTCATGGGTTCATTACATACCATTGTAATCTAACTACAAAAGCCTCATTTCATACAATACAGAAGAACATTGAATCAGACACAAGAGTAATACAATTTTCTATAAAACTTGTTTAGCTCAGAGTTACAAATATTGAAGCACAACTTATGATGTAGTTTCCACCATTGTAATTCAGTGACTCTGGATCTCAGGTAGCAAACTGAACATTTATATATTTTATTACAGATATTTTATATCGGCATATGAACTTATTGTAGGTCTGAAACTTATTCAAGACACAACACATATGGGTCTTCATTTAATGTGGCAGATAAAATGTGTTTATTGAGCCAATGTATACTTAAAGCACACTTGTGGATACATTTCCATGCATGCAATAAACTGCTCTATTTCTAACTTCAATATCTGATGCAGCTTATGTACAATGTATGGTATACTATTATACCATCTGTTGTGTTACTTACCGACAACATCAGAGTTGTAGATACAGAGGTGAGCTGTGCGACATTCTCGGGAGTTTCTTTTCTTGGAGGTTTTCCATAGGGGTGGACTGATAGCAAAGACATAAACAATTCACTCTGCTGACAACTGATTAAATCTTTTAAAGAGTAAAGTTTGATTTTTTCCTGTAGACATTTAGATTGCCACATGGATTTTGTAATAATATTCTTCAAATGGAATCTTTGCTGGTGACTGACAGACTAGACCAATTTTTACAGATAAAACCCAGCCTTTTTATATTACACAACAACCTTCTAGATAACTGTCTAAGGCTATGACCTGGCAAAGCTTTTGCTGTACAGGAGACATCTAATGATCTATACTCATGTTTTGATAGGTCTCTGGTTGTATACACATAAACACAAATTAAAAAATCTTGCACAATGTCAAAGATAATTTGACAGTTAAGTGACAGTCATTCATTTATATACTTGTTGAATTTTTCTTTTGCAAATTTGAAGCATATATTAATGTCAAACCATCGAAAAAATATCTGAGATTACAGTAGTTCATTTACTGTAAAAAGAGTATAATGTAAAATTAATTTACTGTAATTGTAAAATACTGTAAGTGTATAATATATAAAGTTCATTTTCTGTAAGTGTGTAATATATACAACCATAGTTCATTTACTTTTAAGTGTATAATATATAAAGTTAATTTATTGTAAGTGTGTAATATATACAACCATAGTTCATTTACTGTAAGTGTATAATATATAAAGTTCATTTACTGTAAGTGTATAATATATAAAGTTCATTTACTGTAAGTGTATAATATATAGTTCATTAACTGTAACTGTATAATATATAAAGTTCATTTACTGTAAGTGTATAATATACAAAGTTCATTTACTGTAAGTGTATAATATATAAAGTTCATTTACTGTAAGTGTTTAATATATAAAGTTCATTATACAATTCATATTCATATACAACCATAGTTCATTTACTATAAGTGTATAATATATACAACCATAGTTCATTTACTATAAGTGTATAATATATAAAGTTCATTTACTGTAAGTGTATAATATATAAAGTTCATTTACTGTAAGTGTATATTTCCCCTTTTGAAAGCATATAGTTAAATTATTAGAAGTATAAGCATATACTGCTAGTTCATTCACTTGAGTATATAAATAACTTATACTGGGAACATATAATTAATTCACTAAGAGCATATACGTATAGTTCACTTTTTGGAAGCTTTTTAGTTTACTTACATATATAAGACTTTTTGGGACGACCTGCACCGGTACGAGTAACCATGAAAGACATGTAGTTTCTCATCTGGACAATGTCAGCCATTTTGTTTTCAATGAGACGATCCTTGTCAAATCGACGTACACGTTTTTTGTAAGCTGCACTTCCACTTTCCTTGAACTTTTTTGTTATGGCGAGCATCTCAGAAACCGTTACAGAGGAAGGGTCTTTATCCCTGAACAGGCCATCCATTTCTAACTGCTGTTTTTTGTTCTTTAGAATAATAAAAAAATGAGCACAGATTATTTTCTTCTTCTAGCTATAGTAAGAACATGTTTATCCATCTCAAAAAATGAAATCTTATCTAATATTTAGTGATTAAGATTTAAGAACATAATACTTAAAAACATGCCTCAGCTGTTTGCTTACAAACTAGAAAATGTCTGTAAGCCCCCGTCGCCATGTGGAATAAATTCAGTGTTTGATGTTCTATAAATAGTTGCTAAGTGTTTACATTGAATCGGAACGCAACGCGACAGAACGGGGCGGACATGGGCAACACTATATGCCCCCCCACCCCCCCCAACCGATTTTATGGCGGGGGCATAAAAATAACTTCAGAAACAACCTACCAATTTACCAAAGGGTACAAACTCTTTGGCGGTTCTGGAGGGTATGAGCATTTTGTCCTGTGAGGTGGTGCTCTTACTCATCGTTTTCTCTAAATGGTCGACCACCAGTCTCTTCAGCTGCATCTTACGCTGCCACAGCTGTTGCATGTTACGGGTCGTGTACCTGTAGCTCAGGGGCGGACGGGGTACCACAATGTCACCTGGGGGAGAAGGCATTGCAGTTAAACATCAAAATAGCAAACAAGAGGCCCAATGGGCCTGCATCTCTCCTTGTATAAACCTCACAACTGTAACCTAAAAAGTGGACTAAAATAAAGCTACTGGCAAAATATCAGTGTCTTGACTCAAAGTCATTCTAAAGAACCCTTCGGGCCAGGTGATCTAAAAATGGGAGAAATCAGAATCACATGTTTACTTTGAAACATTTTCTATAAGCTGGTAAATATAGAGTGTATGGAGGGTCATATATTGTGATGTGTGGTGTTTCAATGAATGACCAATATGATTTTTACTTTGTTACCATCATCATATAAATCAGATGACTTATGAATGTATGCAAGATATGAATGATCTAAATTGTGTATAATGGACAAACAAACAAGAAACTTTAACAGTGCAGATACTGTATACCTGGAAATGTTCGCCCTTTACCAGAATAATCCATATTTGCCCAGAGTTAGTGTTGTGCCTTATCATTTAATTATTATGCATATTACGTTGTTTACTAATGGTCGCTGTATTGATACAGCCCTCTTTATGGCGGGTGAAAAAGGCGAAAATTAAACTGCAGCAAAAATTTCCCGGTATACGTATAATACGATGGCAAATGTTTAGAGTGATCAGTTCTTCAATCAACACATTAAGCTTAGGATTGCCAAGGGAATTATGAATTTAAATAACAGTTTATATCATTTTTCTAAAATTAATATAATGTAACATTTTCATGCTTTCCTGTTTATTTGTCCCATAAAATTAAAGGAGCAGATCGCATGGAAAATTTGATGACCTCATATATATTGTCTACACTGCTGCAATTACTTCCTTGTCCCTTGTTAAATGTTATATATAGCTTTTAACTGTTCGACCGGTTTTTGGACCATACGTAAATACATTAGAATTTCCCGGAGTTATTTCATTGATATATAGGACACCATATTAACGTTTTTATATTGTATGCCATTACATCTAGCATTTTGTTAAAAACACTAACAATAATCCTATAATTTCGTTAAATTAAAACAATTGAATCCTACCTACCTGCCTGTTGGTCCCGTATCTGTTTGAGATAATCGTTTCGCTGTACACTTGATGCAAATGCTCCTAGACGGGAAACATCAAAGTCAGTGATTGGCGCCTATAATGGAGAAAACACATGTGACTACCTCCTCCTACATGAAGAAACACATTAGGATGTATAAAGGAATAATTGGAATACAACAGTAACATTGTGATGTACATATTCAATTGTAAACCAGGGAAAAGGTTTATACATGAAATGTTGTCACAAATCTCACATTTTTCATATTCCTTTAAAGCATTAGGTGTCATGCTCTTCCACTTTTGTTTTTTCGATGAAACACATTTTATAAAAATCTGATTAACCATAGCTCAAAAAATAATATAAGAACAGTTTTTAATCAAGTTATTTTTCCTGATAAAAAAAACATCTCGAAAAGCTTTGATTCAAACCTGCAAAATGACAAAGACCCTTCCCAATCAATGACCAAACTGATCTATGAATTACAGCTATGCAGTTCTCGTAAACACTGATGTTGTGAACTGAAATTTCAAGCAAATGTACTGATAAACAAAAACTGAACTTGTCAAAATATTTAAATCTAAATCCTTATCCCATTGTAGGCCAAACAGTAGAGAATGCAACTGAAGATGAACTTTTTGTATACAAACAGTTATTTCCCCTTAAGTTCGTTTTGGATATGTCCAGGGTTCAAATCCAAGCCTCGTTTTTTTTTTTTTATTCTCAGAACACTATCATATTTATTTTCTTTTTTTCCCATCGTTATTGTATCTCCAGAAAAATTACATATAAGTTATTGAGTATTTTTTAGTAATTATTCATTCATGTTAATATCATGCCGGTAAAAAAGTTTTATATTCATGGTTGCACATTTTGGCAATGGCGCAGGGATTCTTAAACATGATCAATTACAAAAAATGTCACACCAACGATATGTCACAGAAATGTAACACCCCTGTTATATCGCAGAAAAGTTACATCCCCGATCTGTCACATAAATGTCACACCCACGATATATATCACAGAAATGTCACATTCCCGATCTGTCACAGAAATGTCACTCCCAAGATGTATTGCAGAAATGTCATATATCGCAAAAATGTCACATTACTGATTTGTCACAAAAATGTCACACCCACGATATATCGCAAAAATGTCACATTACTGATTTGTCACAAAAATGTCACACCCACGATATATCAGAGAAAGGTCACATTACTGATTTGTCACAGAAAAGTCACACCCACGATATATCACAGCAAGGTCACATTACTGATTTGTCACAAAAATGTCACACCCACGATATATATCACAGAAATGTCACATTACTGATTTGTCACAAAAATGTCACACCCACGATATATATCACAGAAATGTCACATTACTGATGTGTCACAAACATGTCACACCCACGATATATCACAGAAAGGTCACATAACTGATATGTCACAGAAATGTCACATAACTGATTTGTCATGGAAATATCACACCCACGATATATCGCAGAAATGTCACACTACTGATTTGTCACAGAAATGTCCCACCCACGATATATCACAGAAACGTCACATAACTGATTTGTCACGGAAATATCACACCTACAATATATCACAGAAGTGTCACATAACTGATTTGTCATGGAAATATCACACCCACGATATATCGCAAAAATGTCACATAACTGATTTGTCACAGAGATGTCACATAACTGATTTGTCACATAAATGTCACACCCACGATATATCACAGAAAAGTCACATGACTGATTTGTCACATAAATTTCACACCCTTGATTTATCACAGAAATGTCACATAACTGATGTGTCACAGAAATGTCACACCCAAGATGTATTGCAGAAATGTCACATCCCTGATGTGTCACAGAAATGTCACAAACACGATATATCGCAAAAATGTCACATAACTGATTTGTCACGGAAATATCACACCTACAATATATCGCAGAAATGTCACATAACTGATTTGTCACAGAAATGTCACATAACTGATTTGTCACAGAAATNTGTCACACCCACGATATATCGCAGAAATGTCACATTACTGATTTGTCACATAAATGTTACACCCTTGATTTGTCACAGAAATGTCACATTACTGATCTGTCACAGAAATCTCACACCCATGATATATCACAGAAATGTCACACCTCCTGATATTTATCACACACACTACATCACTGACTGGTGCTGGTAGCAACATTACCCGAGAGTCTCCTCGACCTCCTTCTTTGCTAAACAGGGCACCAAGATAAGACTTTGTATCATCCTGTGAAGAAAGATTGGTACATGTAATAAAAAATATCAGCAGGGCCCAGAATTGTTTCACAAAAACCTTTTATCTCTTGTATTTATATAAAAAAAAAACTTGTCTGTGACACATAACTGATTTTACAGCATTAAATGATCATCTTCTAACTTAATGATACATTTTTAACAAAACGAAACTTTTAAACAGCCAATCAGAGAAAAAATACATATTAATTGTGTCCTGTATACACATTTCAGCACTTATAGGGAATACAGATGAAATTCCAACACTTTTTTCCAAGATGCACACTAACATATATTTCTCACGTTGGCAAAATTAGCAGATATTTCATAATGAGTACCATTTCACTGCTAAAAAAAAAAGGACTACAAATACACGTTAAATTGAAGAATTATTTTCTTACGACTGTTTCCTTAACTAATGTCTGCTTGATATTATTAACATGCAACTTACATTTTGTGTTTTGAGCCAATCAGATCGGACCTTCCATGACTTGAGTCGCTTGTAACGGGATAGGACCATGTGGTCTGTCCGTCCTTCCATCTCTGCAGCAACTTTTGTCCAACTTATACATGAACTATCTGAAAATAAACAACCACAACATTTTGCACAAATGACTTTTAAAATTTGAAAAAATGAAAATAAACAAAAATTTACTGATGATATCTTGGCATGTTTAATTTCCAAAAGACGATAAAATATAAGTTAGTTCTTCCTCCATGTTATACCTAACCACAAGATCTACTGCAAATATTGTAACATCTTCATCCATGCAAAAATATTACCCCAATCTCTACATCAAATATTGCAATATCTTCCTCCATGTGAGACTCCAAACTACTCTTTACCTCTAACGTTTTTATATATGTCTACGGTTGAGACCTCTACAATCCTAGTTGCATCTACATATTGTACCATGCTGCATGACTTGCCTTCGAGAGCATATTTGCTGGCAAACTTAAGCAGTTTTTTGTCCTCTTCGTAGGTCCAGACAGCAGGTGGTTTAAGGGTGGGATTTAGGCAGTTGGTGTACCGGTCCCGACACTGGTAAGCACTCCGTCCGGGAACCATCTCCTGGATCAGCTTCCAGTTGGCATTCCCATGCAGATGAACAGCACTGAGTAGCAACTGACAACATAAGTACACAAAGGGAACATTCAGTCTATGTGTGGAGACAGTTATACCTTAAATCTTATTATTACATGTACGTAGTGACCTTTCCACACAGTTGGCTATGCATTTAAACTTCAACAGACCACCGGGCTAAAGCCTACATCTAATTACCAGTTTACATTATTTTGACTTTGTATCTGGGTCACCAGCAGAATCTGACATCATTGATTTTATTTCTTATGTAATAACATTGTTTGACGTTTACTCACACAGTCCTCCTCTGCGGACCAACGCCCCCTCTTGGTGGATGGGTCAATCTGCAACCACCGACGTTGGCACTGCTTCCAGTTCCTCCCCTCAATGAAGTAGCACACTACAACATTCAACCCAGTTTTTGTACACTTACACAGTCAGACAGTGCAAAAGTAATATTCAACTACCCCAGAAAAAGTGAACAGTATATTATAATACAACATTCAGCCAAGTGTTAGTGCTTGTACCTTCCCACTCGACTAAAACCACACTACAAAACTCAAGCTCCAGTATACCAGTATATTGATAGAAAATTATTTCATCATTCAATTTCGGTGTAGATGATGCAGAAACCTCCAGAAAAGAAGAAAACATTGAGTTTTAACCACTAGTCTAACAGTATACCAGCTATGTATAATATATATATACGGTATATATATATATATACACAGTATACCAGCTATATATAATATATATACACAGTATACCAGCTATGTATAATATATATATACGGTATATATATATATACACAGTATACCAGCTATGTATAATATATATACACAGTATATATATATATACACAGTATACCAGCTATATATAATATATATACACAGTATACCAGCTATGTATGCTATATATACACAGTATACTAGCTATATAATATATGGGTCAAAGAAGTAATATAGACGGTAAAATCCCATATAACACTGGATCCTAATGGATGTATGTCCGTAGGATATGAATTACTTAAAATATTATATGGGGCAAAGAAGAAATTCCAACAGTGTGGACAAGTTAAGGTTGTCAAATTTTCGGAGCGATCCGCTCCTTTATCAAGACACAGTGAAACAGAACATATAATATATATATATATATACAGTATACCAGCTATATAATATCTATATGCAGTATACCAGCTATATATAATACATATATACTCTGTATACCAGCTATATATAATATATATACACAGTATACCAGCTATATATAATATATATATACTCAGTATACCAGCTATATGTAATATAAATATATACTCAGAATACCAGCTATATATGATATAAATATATACAGTATAACAGCTATATAATATATATATATACACAGTATAACAGTTATATGTAATATATATATACCGTATATATTATAGCTGTTATAGCTATACAACACCCTGCAGCAGTTGGATGATGTACCCATTCATAAGGAAATTACCTTTTTCAAAAAGTTACTGAAACTCCCAAGATTTCATGAACTTTAAAACTTACCCTGGTTCCATGAAATTCTGTGAGATAGTCTACAGTTATCTACTACTTCCTTCAGTAATTCATCTTCCTCCTCCGTCCACTCTCTGTAACCACAAATAGCTAACTATAAACACCTGTAATGCAATACATTTCCGTGATATCATAATAGAATCATCCACTGAATCTAGTTCTTGTCAATGAATGATCAATATCAATTCATAAATACATTCTAAACTTCCTTTAATTAAATAAATATTTTCAGTATAATGGTTTTATTTACATTGCAAATACCACCAAAGCAGTTTTGAGCCCTATCAGTCATGATGCTGATTATATTAAACCTAAGACACTGACCGTGAGCTGAAGTTCACATTCAGATTCTGTTGGTAATACTGCAGGCACTGGTAAGCTGATCGGCTTGTCTGAAATAATAAGGTACATGCTATTTTATATTTTGAGGATAAACGATTTTTTAAAAAAGTTTTAAAGTATTTTAAGATATTTTTATCAAATCTCTTGTTCTTATATACAATGTAATATGTCAGTCTGATGTCTTGATATAATGCTTCTGATAGAAAATTACATCTCATGAAACTTGTTTACTATAATATTATCTGTTATTTCCAGCTTTATAATTGAAATTCCACATGACACATTATAATTATGAAAAAAAACCATCCAGTAATTATCTGCAAATATGCACACACACAATTCTGCTTGACAACATCTATATTTTGTGTAAAAGATTCTATAAAGAAGTTTAGACTTGAATGAACCCTTCACGGTTTGCCCATTGAAGCTTACCCCCAGCTCTGTTGCTATCACGTCCCAGTTTTTCATCTCATGTTTGATGACTAGTTCCTGGAGAAGGTCTCTTTCCTCGGGGACCCACTTATCTTTATTGATTCTTGGCTGTAGAACATTTACCCAGAACTTCTTGCAGTCTTCAGGACCATGCTTTCCAAGAAACTGAAAATACAACAGATACTTTAACATGCACAGAATTCATTGTTTTTCATTTCTTCCTTTTTTCCTTCTTCCACTTACATCCCCCCCCCCCCCCCCCCCTTTTTCCNCCCCATTTTATGGCAGGGGCATAAAAAGGATAGTTAAGCAAACTCACCGGTTGAAAATGCTCAATTTTCGTGTCCAAAATCAGGAGTTTCCCTCCAAAATAGGGAGAAGTGGCAAGTATGCATTTAAGAAATCTAATAAAATAAATCTTAATCTTTTTTATTACAATTATTTTCTTCATTTTCATGCATTGTGTTGGTCAAAAGTATGTGAATCTCACCTGTACTTAGACCTAAAAGTTATTACCAAATCATCTGTAAACAGGAACTGCTACTGCGTTTGCAAAATACCAACTTCATTTCTGGACGAGGGTTATATCCTTATCATCCAATTCCTTTGATATTTTATTTGGACACTTTATTCGAAATTTGAGGCAAACATACAATTTAACAATATGTTTTTTTTGTGAAATATATCATTTTAAAATGTATGATTTTTCTAAGAATATCAAAAATTGAATGTTCTAGTGGCAGGAACAGAAAGATGAAATGTTACTATCTAGAAACATGCATGTAACAGTAAGTATTATATAATTTGTTTTTAATTTCACAGATGTCTTGAATATTTTTGTATTGTAATATATAATAAAAAAACTTATTTTAGCAATTCTAATATTATAGCATTTTTGCACTAATTTGAAAGATTGTCTGTATTGCTTTACCAGTTCTTGTGTAAAGTGATTGACAACGCAAAACACTACATAAAGAAATCTTGGCTATTCCATTGAAAAAATAGAATTTATTTGATGGCATTGATAAATTCCTTTATGATAATTTTGCAGACACATTCTATCCTATTGACCTTGAAAAGGTAAGCTTCATACCAACAAGATCATTATCTCAGTTTGTTAAAAGACGTGATTTGACTTTTAACACATTTGACCATAGGATCATGACTTCGAAGGTAGAATTTTTTAAAAACACTTTCACATTAACAAGCTACAAGATTAGATCCCCTGGATCTTTAGAAGTGGTCATTAGAAAGTATTTGACTCCTAACTGTGACCTTGAGACCAAGTCAAGGTCATATGTTTTGGTTGTTCACCCTTGTGACCTTGAACAAAAGAATGATTATAAGTAGACAAAGAAAAGTTAAGAAAACCAGTAAACCGGTTTTGTTAATTTTACTTGGTAGTCCAAAGAGGGAACATGTGGGATAATCACAGAGTGGCTGATTGCTAGAACCAAAACTGTACGGTACTAATACTAGTTTGCACTGTTCTTTGATAAAAACCAGCTCAAAATATTATTTGTGTGATGGTTATTTGTTAACCAAAGTTTTAAAGATTACAATAATTTCCCAACACTCNTTTGATATCTTCATCCAATCAATATCATCTGGATCAAGTTGGTCGAGGAGTTCCTCAAGGCTATAGTGCCTGAAATATCATACAACAGTAAAAACTAATTTTACAGTGGAAACTCAACAATAATACATACATGCACGGTACATTATCATGCCAAACTGGTTTTACAGCAGAAAATTTGCTGAAATGCATGTGGTCTCCCATCATACTGGTTTACAACAGTAATACGTGTACATAGAGTACTGTCACCAAGATAATATTATCTTTATATTGAAGAAAACTATTACAACCTAAGACACCAATAAAATGAACATAACAGTTTATTTCTATACCAAAATCTTTAATGCAACCGTGATTGTTTTAGAGAAAAATATAAAAATTGAACTATTGATTTAATTTTTTTTTAGCCACAATTATGACAGAAATGTTTTGTTTGATTAATGTTATGAAAAATAAAATGCCAAGGTGTGCCTGCAAAGAAACATAAATATTCACACCCTGAACACACTAAACAGTAAGGACATGCCCTCTCCGTCTGTCAAACTTTGATACATTTGAATGAAATCGAAAATCTGTATCCATCGATACAACAAGAAATCCTACAGCCTTATTTTCAAACTATCAAAATGACATGTGCATATCACAAAATTCCTACAATGTATCGATTTTAAATGAAGAATATTGAAAACTAGTTCTGTATATTTGTAAGGGAGATAACTCTTTAATTACCTTATGGCTTCTATCTTTGTGTCAATATCTTCCAGGGTAGCTTCAATCTCCTTTTTCACCTTAGATTTTTTATTTTTATCTGCTAACAAGTGTTTTTCTGCTTCTATTTCCTTCCTGGAAGCAATAAAAATCTCCAGATAAAAGTTAATCAAATATGACATAATATCATTTATGTAATGAAAAAGTGTGTAGCTCAACTTTCTCTACATACAGGACATGTTATGGGTTAATAATACCACAGACTTGGTACTTACTTCAGGTATTCTGCAAAACTAGACTTGAAAATGCTGATTTCTTTTAATGCCATTAGAGATACAAATTATTTTACAAGTAAAAAATAACACTTTCTTAGATTTTAACCAATGATGATATAGAATGCAAAAATGATGTATATAATTATAATAACAGTGTTTTTGTTATCTAAATTTTACGACAGCCTGTTCCTTTATGAATTGGGAAAATATAGCATTACTTTTATTGAAATTGGGAATATATTTCTCATTTTTTTGTCCTTTTGGGGAAAATAAGGCACTTTTTAGAAACAGCCTGTAAAACTGAGCAAAAAAAAATCACTAAATAACCAATAAAAATCCTGAAATGTCTGTGTTCAGCACTCTCCTTGATTGTGACATCATAGAGCTCTGAAATCACATATTGAGATATTATTCTTATCAATCATGAGACACTTGATTGTATATGTATAAAAGTACATATGACAATAGTACTCTACCCATAGGTCAGGTACATCAAATCTATGTATGCCAACAAGTTTATAATACATAGATGAATATATAAACTTTGAATATATTCACTTGTTCATTAATGGTCTGATGAGTCTCTCTTGAGCCTCCCTCTGTACTGCCTCTGTCAGCATATCTCTCTGAACCTGGTACCCTGTCAAACAAAACCATTACACATTTGTATATTAAGTTATGACATTTATTTTAAAGTTATTAAATATACACTTCCACAAAAAGTCTACTGTTTCAAACCGTGAATTATGTAGATCAGATCTGTCAAAGTTAATTATGGAATATTTTAGGAAGGTGAAATTCAGAGGAGTAAAATGAAAAGATATCTTAGACCATACATAGAGCCAACAACTCGTAGCGAACATGGACTTCAGGACACCTATGTTTGACCCAAAGCTCAAGGAAACTTTAGCCTGGTTGCTTAAATGTCAAATCACTTAAGACTGGAGTTCAACGTATCATCTTACCCTGGCCCATGTACATTTGTTGTATACAGTCCAACTAACCCTAGATTCTGGAGTTGACAGCAGCAGACTGGCAACAATAATGATCTATGTTGATGCTATCACATGGTACAAGTTTACTGCCATTTGCCCAATAGTGAAAGAATAAGTCTATTTGGTCAACCAATTAAAGTGTCAACCAAGGGAAAACTGGTAAATGGTCTGACTGTATACCTGTTCAACTGATAAACATTTAGGCTATTGGGTTGGTGGATTTGTAAGAAAATGACAATAGCCATGTGGCCATGATATATCTTAAGATTGGATCTCAGACTCTCCTTGTCTTGTAAGTTAAGAACCAGGGAGGGTGGTGGTGGTGGTATCTTGATCCTCCAATAACTAAATAATTGGATATATATATAGCCTTTCTACAACCACTGATAATCAATCAAAGGTGAAGTTCATTTATACGCCTTAGTTTAGACCCCCAATGTCCCTGTGAATTTAATTTGTATGCCAGGGAGAAGCAAACTAAAAAATACCTATGTACAAATGTATGGTTACTCTATGCACACACGTGTGTTTGTGCCACTAACAGTGGTCAAGATTTCAGGTAGACCCTCTATCTGCCACATGCAAACCTGCCTTATATTGTATATAATAAGACTCCAATTAAAGGACACAAGATCGAACTTATAATGAATGGACAGATTTGAGTAAAACACAGAATAATGAAAGGACAGATTAAGAGTAAAACACAGAATAATGAATGGAAAGATTTAGAGTAAAACACAGAATAATGAACAAGTGAAAGGATTCAAAGGAAAACAGCTAACATGGAAAAGGGGAATAATATGGGCAAACTAAAATAACAACAAAAGACCCCTCTGGGCCTGTATCGCTTACCTGGATAATAAAGCAACCATGGGAAATTATTCTTATTACATTAAATCCCTCCAATGGTACAGAAGAAGAAAGATTTAAACCTCTAATTTCCCTACTGGGCCCCGCAACTATCTGCCCCCAGGGGGTCCAAACCCACCGTTTATACAAAATTTAGTCCCCTTGGCCCAAGGATGCTCCAGACCAAATTAGGATGAAATCCCTTAATCCATATGGTAGAAGATGGATTTTAAAGGTTTTACCTCTATTTCCCCTATTGGGCCCCACCTCTCTGCCCCCAAGGGGGGCCATACCCACCGTTTATACAAAATTGAGTCCCCTTGGCCTAAGGATGACCAGACCAAATTTAGTCCAAATCTACTTGGCCATTCAGGACAAGTAGCATTTTAAAGGAAAAGTTGACGGACGGACTGACGACGGACGATGGACGACGGACACTGCGCCATGGCATAAGCTCACTTGCCCTTCGGGCAGGTGAGCAAACAATGGATATGAAATTGAGAACAAAGGGTGGATCAGTTAAAAAGAAAGCATTACTTAATTATAACAGGAACAAATGATGGACAGATTCAGAGGAAACCACTTACATAAAACTGGAGTTAAGTGGTCCTGTCTGACTTCTCCAAGTGTCTGTTTTAATCTCACATCTTCATTCTGTGGTGCATGCTATTCAAAGAAATAAACATACACAAATAAATGATACCGTTAGATGTTGCGGCAAAATGATTTGCATATGAATAAAAATAATGAATGAGTTTCCATATAAGGATATATCAGATTCCATATAAGGAGATATCAGATTCCATATAAAGAGAGAGGCTTCATATAAGGACACAGAAAGTGCAATTCTATGTTAAGCAAACTTTGTAGCATGCTCGATCCCCTAGCCACCTGTGTTACCTAAAGCATGTGTCAGTAATCAGGTTTACTTTACATCAACTGAAATACACTTCTGAAAATATTATCATAATGTTGATTTCTTTAAGCTTATTGGATCAGCATGTAAATTACTCATACATAAATTACTAATCATGTTAAACAGCATGTTAAGTATAACATCTGGATGTATCGTGTGATAGGAAAATAAAATATATGCATTCCCTGAACTGTATCTACTCACCCTTCCATTAGCATCTCTGAAAAATGGAACTCCAAACCATGTGAGAGGCTTTATTGCCGAGTTTGGATCTGATGAAGATGCATTTTTCTTGCTTGATTTGACAGTCAACTCCTCCTCCAAAGATGTCTGCAGACCAAAAAAGAGGTACCATATTTTCATACATTTCAATCATTTAAAAGCTTAAAACTGCTTTAAATCAACAAGTTTTAAAGGTACAAATGTAACAATAAATATTTCTTTTAAGGACTCTAACCTTTGTTATAATGGTATAAAACAACATATCACATTTTAACATAAACAAAGATAAATGGCATTTTATGGTATATTTACAATTTCAAGATAAAAATTCTCATGTAAACTCAAAGCATAGTTTTCTTTAATCAACAGGTTGTTTGTTACAATATAATTATTGAATAATCTTATGTCTTTTTCATTTGATAATAAAATCTGACATACGTGAAATATTCTTTAAATGCTTACTTTAAGCATATGTTTCCAATATTTAAAAAAATCTACCTGAGTTTATATATCTGAAAGAAAAGACAATTCGGAAGGCTTGGAGAATAAACCAAATGTGTATAGATTACCATATATGCCATAATGTTGCTGTTTTTGTTATTAGCTTTTGAAAAAATTGTGAAATATATATATATTCATTTCATTTGATGCAGTCCTTCATTATTAAACTGAAGTACAAATGTCGGGCAAGGGAGGTAACTCTGCATGACAACAATACCAGCTAACAGTTTCTAGGAATCTAGATCTCTGTACAGAAGAGCGTTTCATATGATCTGAATAGATGATTATTTTTAAAACTTCCAAAAAATGAAACCAGTTAACATGAATTCATGAATACCAAAATCAAAAAAAATATCGCTCAACTTCAGGTTGCAAAACAAATCTGGAGTACCTGTTTACTCCTGTTTTCTTGGAGAGATATTTCTATTTTCCTGAGAAGGTCCAGAAGGATTTCCTGGTAAGCTCGATTCAAGGCGAGACATGTCTCTGGATTGATGACGATTTCACCGTCATCCCCCATCATCTGCAGCTGTGCCAGGTCAGCCATGTCCATCTGTACTTCGCCTGTCTCGTCCCCTTCTTCTGTCTGATGTGTTAGGAGGAATATTTTACAGAATACATGTGTCTTAAACTATGACAAAGAGAAATAGCAAGTCCAGTTCTAGTGTATATATATCAACAATTTCTTGGTGTTTGAAATTAACAAACGCTTGAATGGAAAGCATGAAGACTAAGTTTATGTGAATAGTTTGATACTTTGATAAACATCAAAAGAATCTTGCTGTTGCATAACAGTAAAACTGGATAGCTTTGAGTCGCATGTCGCTCCTCTGTAATCTTCTAAGGACAGGTATCAGCCTAGCGATTGGGCATGAATTTTTACCCGAGACCAATCCAATAGCTAACTGTGTGCCTTCAATTTTGTTATGAAATATTTCATGGGGGGCAGAGAGTGTAAATGAGCATAACCCCTGGAGTATCGGGGATGATGCAGATCTCAATATTACTAACTTATGGTGTAAACATGAACTAAGGATTCATATCTTATCTTGTACACAAGGTTATTACTACAGATGCACATGTACACATGCACTGAAAAAGTAATTACTAGATACTCCCTTCACAAAGTTGGGGTAATAATGAGTACATTGTACTTTGTAACCTTACAATGGCAAATGTATAAACTACAATAAGTTAACATGTAATAGGCCCTATGGGCCTGTATACTTGCCGGAATATTTTAGGTGAAAAGTACAAACAAATTTAATTATGTTATCACTGTTGTCACTACATGTGCTGTGAAATGTTTTTTTACATCCTTTTCAAAAGGAAGTATTCAATAAAAAAACACATGTCCTGATGCATTTTACAGAAGAAGTATGGTTGTTCGAAATTTGAATGTTTAAAAATAGAAATTCAATCAGGAAAAAGATAAACTGCAGAAATTAAAATCTGGACCTTTTAATTACAAGTCCTACACGTCACTTAACCAATGTTGACATCAAGTAATTTTACCTAGACAGCATTAAAATGACAATACAAATGATTGGTCAAAAGTCTATGAATCACTAGACAGGGGAAGTTACTCTAAGCCAGAAAGACTCCTTTTGGGTGCTTCATCTTCTATGAAGCAACCAGCAACAGTGATAAACACAATGTGACACGACACTTGTTAAATAGATCAAAACTGTTAATGGACGCTACAAACAATGTGTTATCAGATCAAAGAATTACGAAAATTTTACAAGTAAGAATATAGATCTGAAAATATTTACCTCATCTTCATCATATGTGTTGATACCACTTGGACCAGGCTTGGCATGTAGACGTCCTGTGAAAAAGAGTGTTATCACAACTTTGATGTTTATCACGGCTAGAATGATATAATATTCTCAACTAGGTGTTTACCCAAGTATTTTGATAATTTCTTCAGCTGGGAAAAATAACAGCTTATTGACGTGTTTCAATCAACATTCCTTCTTTTTGGTTAATATTTGCTAGATTTTCTAGTTATAATAGCACCTATATAAGGAAAAGAATAAAATGAAATTGTGTTCTGCTAGGATGAAACTTATTATCCAAAATTTTCTTTTCTAAAATGTATTTTATCATATTAAAAACCAATTGGGAATAGGGAAGAATTTCATTATATACATGTATGCAGGAAATTTTTTGTTGTGTGTCATCCTTGTCATAATTATTTAAACTTAAATTGATAAGAAATCGAAAATTAACTTTTTGCACAAGAGTTAGTGTTACAAGCTATTACTATTACTACAGTATCACTATGTCCATTTTCTGTGTATGATCAACACCCGTGAGAGACATTCTATCTATACAGCAAATAAAATACTTGTTTGATTATAATATAGTATTGTAATACAAACCAGGAGTACACAACCTAAATGTCTAGATACTGGTATGCTTAATCTTGTAAACCAGGTAATTGTAAACATCCAAACTTATGGCAATGATTGAGAGAACACCTCAGATGGCAGGTTGGTTGGTAGTACCGTATTTTACCGCCAATAAGCCCCCTTTCACAAATAAGCCCCTCCCGACTTTGGTAGATGTCCTGGGAACAGGGTGGGTGCCTGCAATTAAGCCCCCTCCCTAATTTTGTCTCCATCTCAAAAAAATAATTATGTCAATTTTTGTCTCTGACATAAGCAAATTAGCTAAATGGATGCAAAACAACATAAACCCAAGTTTCAATACTACAAATAACTTTGTTTCTGAATTAGGCACAATAATAAATAGCATGTAGTGACATGTACTCTTTACTGAGTACTGTGATTCTGTATTGTTTTTTTTTATAAAGAACTATGTATTCATGAGTGAATTAAAGATGAATCAAGATATCTAGATGGCTTAACTGAAAACAAAACATCGTTCTGTTGCTGAAAGAACACCATGCTTTCGTTTTTTAACAGGTTGTGTATTTTGCAGATTTCAATGTAAAACGAAACATGTTGCTTGTACCAAATCCATTATATCTATAGTCTGTACTGAAGTAGCAAATTATGAAATATCAAATCTTTCTGTGAAGGTCAGTTCGTTCATATTGCCATTCTGAAATTTGTATCAACAAATACAGTGTCAACAAAGAGCATGGCTTCCTGGATCAAATACATCGTTTTTTGGAAGACTTTTATCCATAAAAACATGTCTCTTGCTGATAATGCTTGCAACCTTCATACAGATAAGTTGTTGTGTTGTTTTTGTATGATTAAGACAATGGTTTTTTATGTTAATTAAGCCTTGTATACTTGAATTTCTTCATAGTACGGTATATATTCAATGGAACAGTGGATAAGTACATGATATTTAGTGTGGTCATAGATCAAAACAGTGGTATATATCCAAGATGGCAGACATTTGTGAACAGGGGGGTTGCTCGCAATTAACCTGCCTCCAAACGTTTGGCCCATCTTTTTTCTCAGGAGGGGGAAAGCTTATTGGCGATAAAATACGGAATATGCCAAATTTCTCAATCATTATATTTGAGGTCATTTCAATTTTGTTACCACTCTGATGTAATTAACAGTTACAAGAAAGGGAAAATGCACATGTTAGACCAGGAATCGAACCTGGGACCCTCCCAACTTTAGACCGATGCTCTTATCAATTGAGCTACCTGGTCAATGGCTATGAACCAAGTCTAGTTCCATTACACTGATGTAATCTTCTGTTGTTTCTTTCATACATGAACTTCAAAGCTAAAACATTAACCAAGAGTCAGTTTCATACAACTGCATGTACTGAGATGCTAATCTTTGTTGAATTTTCTGCATGTAAGGAAATGATTAAGTCTGGTTAACCCAATGTCAGTATAAATTGATGTGACCAGATGGAATACTACAGGTACAGTATGCTGGATGCCTTTGGCATGGTATAATTTCAGTGAGATAGCACTGTAAAATCAGCGTGAAATCATATTGCAAGGAGGCAAATACACCAACATATCTTGCCTCTAGCAAACATGCACACATGCACTCAGTACCTCTGAAGAGTACCACTGGAAATTGCCAGGTAAGTAGATATAAATATGGTATCATACATTTGGCACTAAAATGACTTAGGTGCTAAATGGATTTGCTAAGTTGTTTTTTTCTTTTTGAGAAATGAAGTTGTTTAAGTTTGTAGGGGAACTGGACTGGGTCGATCGTCGATGACCGGATAGCTCAATTGGTAGAGCGGGCGGGTCCCGGGTTCGAACCCCGGTCTGTCCGTGCCTTTTTCCTCTCCTGTTATAATTAGATTTGGCACCAAACAAAATATACCCACAGAAGGTGGTATAGGTCTTGTGTGTCTTCCTGATCGAAGACTTTGTTAAAGGAGGGAGGAATGTAGTGGAACTGGACAAGGTCGATTGTTGGTGACCAGATATCTCAATTGGTAGAGCATCCGTCTAGAGTTCGGAGGGTCCCGGGTTTGAACCCCGGTCTGGCCGTGCATTTTTCCTCTCCTGTTACAAATTGATAGATAGAGAAATCTGTATGTGACTTCTAGACCACAGGTACTATTCTCGTCTGTCAAACCATATGGGTGTAATGTATTGACAGACAAGGCTATACTTTTGGTAAGACTGAGTAAGTGTGGTTGGGTATACCGGTGCAGTGGAGCTGGACATACAATGAAGTTAAATTCTCTGATCAGGCATGACAAAGTATCGGGTCAGTTGCCCAACAGTCATCTACATGGGTGATCTCCAAGTTCCTAAGTTTTAAAACTGCCTTACAGCTTGTGTCTTGGTCAAAATGTGAAAGGTAGAAATCCTCTAAAGTCTTTTCATAAATAGCTGTGAATTATAGTTTATTATCATATGGACCCAGTTATATTATAATTCAAGTTGAATTATTAATCCAACACATCACTGTAGATTAAACTATACAATACATAGTATAAAATATTGGATACAGCAAGCCAACTATAAAAGTATTCGAAAAGTAAAAGGGGAATTCCATTATTTTGGTCTTCACAAATCATGACGGTCCACGGTAATTTGCATAAAATAAGGGGAGGTAATATTCCCATCATTTAATTATTACCTATATATCGCTGATTAAACAACTTATAAATAAAACTTTTGGAACTTAATCAATTTGCTATTAAGATGATGCAGAAAAGACGTAAAAATAGATACATTAACAGGATTTACCGTCATAATCAGGAACATAATCTTGGTCGATGCGGAGACTATTTTCATCTTCACTATCTTCATATTCGCCCTCTTCTTGCAAGGCAAGTTGTAGACGTTCAATGTCATCCTGAATTTGTTCCCTTTCGTCCTGTTCGCTGTCTTGTGATAACATACTGGTAAATGGTTGACCTACCCAATTAAACTTGAAACTAATAAATCTACATGTCCGGCCTTCATGAGGGCAACCAAATTGTACGCCATTTTTTCCGACACAGTATAACTTCCGCCGGAAATGAATAACTTTAGGTTTTGGGGGGTGACGAAAACTTTACAAACCCGAATATAATTTTGGGCGAAGATTTTGAGCTTGTCAGTGTATGTTCACTGAGACATATTTTGTTTGTCATGTTAATTTTACTCACACATCAAATTTGTCGTGGCAGATGTATTAAAGATATTAGCGTTCGGATTAACCCCCCCTTTGAGAGTGGACTGTTCCATGTATCTCGTGATGGACTGAAAAGAGTTCCAACCGACGTCGGCTTGCTGAGGTAAACACATTGCAATGACAAATTGACAGTGCTGCTGGCTAAGCGCGACTGATATCTGAGGTATTGCTGACTTTCTCTGTTATGCGTGTTATATCTTACACTTATTTACATTTATTTAAATTTGAAAACCCTTCTTACAAAGTGTCTGTAGGCATATGATAACACCGTTACACTTTTCGAGAAAGAAATGAAGTCGGTCACCTGTTTTTCGCCCCGAAGAAGTCTTAGGAGCATCCATTGGTTCTTTACATATACAAGTCTTGTATTGTTTAACATTTACAGTGTTGTTAACCCGTGTAACCTTCCCAAACATGTCTTGATAAAGTTGTACTTATACATAGCATTATGCTGCTGAAGTCGGCAATGCAAGCTGACAATACAATCAGCTTAATTTATACTATAATTGGGACATTACGTCATTAGTGTTTGGAATGGGTTGAAATTCACGTGTAATAATCGATTTATGGTTTCTTTTCATCACCTGATGATCAACTTACAATCGGTTAACATGTAGCTAACATAGGGAATTCTGTTCATAACACAAGCATTTAATAGCGGCTGATGTAATATTGGCGACTAGGTAGAGCTCAAGTCTAGTTATTTTGTAACCAGTTACCATCAGCAATCAGTTCCAGTCAACATGTAATAATATGTTGACTCTGACGTCCATCCTAAGGCTTTTACCAAGGATTTCAGTTTTGCTATTCCAAAGGGCGTCGGGTTGTTTCGCCCTAAATCCCGTTTTTACCCCTGGTTGTATTTCCCTAAAAATATTTTAGGGTGATTTTCTTTAGTCCTGTTTATATGTGTAGATTTGTACGTGGTCGACCAGATCTGTGCATACACTAGTACTGTATACTTAGCATGCAATTCTTTCAACAAGACATATGCTTGTGAAACCACCGACTATGATCTAATTATGTGATGAAACATGAAAATAGTCAGCTTCTTTTAATAATTAAAAAAATTCAATTGATATTCTTAACTTTAAAATATATAATTATATTAGGGCAAAAGAACCTTGGGCAAACTGGATTTAAGACGAAACGACCTGTTCACTAAGCGAACAGGATTTAGGGTGTAAGACCCGGGATCCATCCAAAGTGTTATATCAGTGACTACACATATATATATATCTATTTCTCATAAATTTGTGGCAAACAGTTGCAAAATTAACAAATTACCCAAATAGTTTCTCCTAAGTTTATCCAGGAAGTAAATAAGTCTGTTCGGATTGTGCTCTTTACAGTATATTATAACAAACAATTAGGATGCCACTGCGAGTGTGACAAATATCCCAACGGCTCTGTATGACTTTCACACACTACACTTACAAAAAATGAACTAATAACTTAATTAAGGTAATGTACAGATGTTAATATTTTTTAGCAGTTTTCTGCATGAAGCTTGTGAAACAGATTAACTTGAAATCATGATACTTATACATTATACCTAAAAAGCACGGGTGGAAGCAGTCATTCACATGTACACTACTCATGCTTTGTTACATTGCATTGTAGAAAAAGCTGCTGGTTCTTATAAGTACCAGCATTCTGAATTACATGTATGGAAAAAAAAGGACTATCATGATCACTGTCTTTAATTTTTATCACAATAAATCAGTACAATACATAATCATATGCTTAAACCCATACCTTATTATTAGTTATAGCCAGTTTTAATTTCCTGTATATAATGTTTGAGCAATTTGAAGTGCTTAAAAAAAGAAAAGTATATTNAAACTGGATTTAAGACGAAACGACCTGTTCACTAAGCGAACAGGATTTAGGGTGTAAGACCCGGGATCCATCCAAAGTGTTATATCAGTGACTACACATATATATATATCTATTTCTCATAAATTTGTGGCAAACAGTTGCAAAATTAACAAATTACCCAAATAGTTTCTCCTAAGTTTATCCAGGAAGTAAATAAGTCTGTTCGGATTGTGCTCTTTACAGTATATTATAACAAACAATTAGGATGCCACTGCGAGTGTGACAAATATCCCAACGGCTCTGTATGACTTTCACACACTACACTTACAAAAAATGAACTAATAACTTAATTAAGGTAATGTACAGATGTTAATATTTTTTAGCAGTTTTCTGCATGAAGCTTGTGAAACAGATTAACTTGAAATCATGATACTTATACATTATACCTAAAAAGCACGGGTGGAAGCAGTCATTCACATGTACACTACTCATGCTTTGTTACATTGCATTGTAGAAAAAGCTGCTGGTTCTTATGAGTACCAGCATTCTGAATTACATGTATGGAAAAAAAAGGACTATCATGATCACTGTCTTTAATTTTTATCACAATAAATCAGTACAATACATAATCATATGCTTAAACCCATACCTAATTATTAATTATAGCCAGCTTTAATTTCCTGTATATAATGTTTGAGCAATTTGAAGTGCTTATAAAAAGAAAAGTATATTTGATGTTCAGGGGCCCATCATATAGTTTTCGTTATTGTTTTATAGACAACAAAACGTAATGGTAAAGATTCATTATATGGCTAAAAAAATTATAGGAGTTGGTGATACATGAGGAAAGGGCATTAAGGAATTGTGTAAAATTAGGAAAAAGAAGACCTGGAAATATTTTGGCAATGATCAAGATAAGACAAAAAGTGCTATATATATATTAACAGTTTAATGGTTATACCACCAGGTATGTATGTATATATACAATGTGTTTATATATTCACATTTTGCTAAGGATCACTATTATATGTTTGGGCATATGTGAAAATAGATATTTTATTTGGTTTATACTGAGATTATTTTTGAAAAATTGATTGTCCTTTTAATTCATCAGAATGCAAAAATTCCAAAAATTGTAATTACAGTTGGAAAAATGAGCCACAGAAAAGGGTTACCCTTAAAATTGGTAAAAACAAGGTATTCACTAAAAGCTGTAATTGAATAAAACTCATCCTAAATAAACAGAAACTATTTTAGTATCGAGTGTGATGCCCATGACCATCAATTACAGCTCCCCAATGTCTGCGCATGCCCTGAATGAGATCGCATATCTGGTTTTGTGGGATAGCGTTCCACTCAGCTACCAAAGCTGTTCCCAGCTCCTGGAGCATTCTTGGCTGAACATTTCTGGCAGAGAGAGCTGTCTGCAGCATGTCCCATACATGCTTGATGGGATTGAGGGCTGGCCAATCCATTTGTTGAATAGTCTCTAGCTGTAGATATACTGCTCAGTCTCCCTTGTTCTATGTGGCCTAGCATAATTGTCCATAAGGATGAAGTCAGGGCCAATAGCACCAGCGTAGGGTCTGACAAAGGCATCAAGGATTTCATCACAGTAAATCCAGGCTGCAACGGTACCATTGTGGAAGACATAGAGGTCAGTTTTCCCATGAAGGCTTATGCCTCCCCACACCATCACTGAACCGCCGCCATATCGATCATGTTCCACAATGTTACCTGCCTGGAACCTCTCCCCAGGTTGTCTCCATACTCTAACTCGCCTGTCGGTGAAGTTGAGACAGAATCTGGACTCGTCAGTAAAAAGAACTGGTTCCCATTCCTGAAGAGTCCAAGTGCTGTGAGTTTGGGCCCAATCTAATCTGTCCCTAACATGGCGGGCAGTTATAAAGGGAACTCGTATTGCTGGTCTACGTGACCTTAAACCAGCATCATGAAGACGGTTCCTAACTGTCTGAGTGGCTACCCGGGTACCAAAAGCATTTAGGAGGTCATTTCGTAAAGCTGTGTCAGTCAGCTGGAACCTGTCAGGCCAAGCCTGTACGTTGTAGCCCTAGAACGACCTCCAGCATGACGTCTGGAACGGTCTCCGTTAGTTTGGAAACGATTCCACATTCTTGCCACCACACTTTGAGACACCCCAAGGTCTGTTGCGACCTGACATTTAGACATGCTAGCTTGCAGCATTCCAATGCCCCTATTCATTTTACTGTTCATTTAACTGCGTCTGGTTCGTGTTTGTGCCATAGCATATTAAAACAAAAACTTGCAAAGAATATTCATCAAATTAATTTCCATAACATTTTGAACAATGCCTTACTTAGCCTAGCTTAGCTTTTGAAAGGGGTGTACACGTGCAATAAGCGTGCACACACTTTTATGGTTGACTGAACACATCCACACAGAACAATTTGGAAGGCTAACATATGCGCCAAAAATAGTATGGAAGGAAAATATAATTTCTAACATTTCATTTGTTTTCAAAATAAAGGTGATCCTTAGCAAAATGTGAGTAGTATGTATGTATCAAGCCAATAGCTGAAAGATTCATAAATGTAACTAACACATCTTTTTTTTCCTAATCAAGGAGTCTTTGAAGTAGCAAGATGGCGGCACAGTCGGCAGGATCTCACAATGTTGATGTTCGTGAGCTCTTCAACATGCTCGAATCAAACGACATCAATGTGTCAAACGACATTACGAAACTAGTGCAAGAAAATCTCGCTTCAAGTAGGTATACATATATTATCGCAGCATTTGTAAGGGTGTTCAAAGATTCTAAAAATTTAAAAAAGATAATATTCATTTGTATACCTGTTATTGAGTCTTTTCAAAAGGACATCCAGTGCTTTTGTGATCCTAAATGAAATCACGAAAAGTTTGATTTTGAAATCTTATTAGAAACTTTCATTTAATTTCCTTAATATACATGTATTAATACATTGTATTAACACAATACATCTCCAGCACACATGCAGGCATGCACACATGGGGAGATATTGGCCAGGTGGCATAGAACTAGTAGTTCATTAGCTCCTGATAAATTAAAGCAGCTCCTGCAAATTACTCAAAATTGTATTGATTGTATAAATTGTATATCTATGTACTGTAAAGCGCTTTAGAGTGGCTTATTCTAGCTAGATATGGTGCTATATCAAGTGTTGTATATTATTATTATTATTGTATGATGATCATGAAGATTATTAATATACCGGTATATACGTTTTACAGTCAAGGAGGCGTGGCTTGTTTGCAGTCTTGTGGATTACTATTACATATCCGTATCAGAAAGGACCCTCCAAATTATCAAGGACGTCCGTGAACCTCATGATAAGGTAATAATTCTGTAAACTTGCCTGGTTACTATATATGAAGCGGAACTGGACTGGGTCGGTCGCGGGTGACCAGGTAGCTCAGTCGGTTACAGCATCCATCTTGAGTTCGGAGGTCCAAGTTCAAATCCCAGTCTGGCCATGCAAATTTCCTCTCCTGTAATAACTACATTAGATCCTAATTACTATAAACGCTGATAAACTCAAGCATGATTTTGTCCGTGTAACACTATACATACTGTGACCTTCGTTAATGGCCTTCATCAGGTGATTTCAGGTCCTGTTTGACTTTGAAATTGAATGAAAATCATTAGCTATCAGAGACCAACTTCCAAAGTAACCTCATGTAAAATAATTACAGCTTACAATTTACAAATGCATGTATATAACATAAAGCCAAAATAAAATCATGTGTTTCTGCTAACTCTACGTATATACCTACCTTAGATTTTTGTGCCTACCCTAAAGATTTTATTGGCATTTATAATTAGTGATATGCATTGTTAAAGTCAGAACGCCTGCTCTATAAAGGCATAGTAAAATACCTACCTACCTACCTACCTCATTTTCTCTAAGAATGATAGCAGGATCCCAAGTTTTTTTTTTTTTACCTGATGTTAAATTTAACAAAAAAGTGTTTTTCACAATTTGCATATTGTGTGAGTTTATGAAATAGTTTTCCATGTTGTGTTCATAGCACCTGGTAGATAAACTAAACGAGGGACTGAAGAGTGTGGAGCACCGTCTACCTGCAATGAAGATCTTGTTGTCTCTGGCCTGTAAACAGCCGATCTGGGTCCACAAACTAGTCACTCATCAGATCTTCCACGCCATCATCAAAACTCTAAAGGTAGCTAACACAGTCCTACCTGTAAGTTGGGTATGGGTTAGGATGGACGGGTGAGGAGTGGAGGCCAAATGAAACTTTGTTTAGCATAAAAAAACCTTAAAATTGTGTACATCTACCCAACCTTTATCATTTCTGAACTGGCCTCCCTTACTCACCAATGAATGCCAACTTTCAGTGTGTTTTGACCTTCTAATGATTATTTTGTGTCAATTGGCTGTTTGACCATAAACAAAATATTACAGACAGCAAGAGGTATCTTTTACTATGTTTACAGACAGAAACGGACATTCCTGTGGTTACGACTGGTGTGATGACGCTCACAGTACTTTTGCCTTCGGTTCCTGCTCTCATCGGCAACCAACTGACAGAAATCTTCACCATATTTAGTCGTTTGATAGCTTTTAATGAAAGAAAACCGGGTGAGCTAAATTTCAAATTTTTCAATGAGTATTTTTAAGCATTATAAAACATTTTATTATAGTTACCAAAAGTCATTCATTGTGAAGGGTTTAAAAGTAACAGGTTGACATGATTCGATCATGTTGGGCAACTCTAAGCTACTTACTTAAGGTACCTATATTTCTTAGGATTCTGTATAACAAGGTTACCTGGATGCATTTTTTTCATCACAAAAAAATAATCAGTCTTTTGGCTTGTCGAGTCCTCTCTCCCATGACACACCTGTTTTTTTATTTATTAAATTACTGATAACGCTACTCCTACTACAGATAGCAATGTAAATGGCGTAAAACAGCACACCTTCAAATGTACTTCCGTTAGATATAGAGATCAAACTTTTCTAGTAACATGTTTGATAATGTTGCTGTGAATTTGTTTGACAGGAAATGTGCCGGATGTGTTTCTGCTTCACTTACAAGTAGCGTTGTACTCTCTCTTCCATCGACTGTATGGCATGTTCCCATACAACTTCCTCACATTCCTCCGGCACCACTATAACAAGAAAGATAATACGAAGGTGTTTGACGAGTTTGTGAAGGTATTGGAATTTACATGTGTTTCGTCGTAATCATATTTTGTATTGCATCAGAATAAAATGTTAACATTAGTGGTTTTATAATTTGGTTAGTTTAACCATGTTTCAGTATTTTTTTCTCCTGTTTAATAACATTTTATTGTGTCATAATAATTTTGATCGATGTTTATTTTTTTTAATAAAGAAGTTACCGGTAATGAATATTGCACTGGTATAAATTTTAGGAATATATACAGCTAATACTTAAAGGTTATAAAGTCATTACTTCTCAAAATTTAGTTGATAAGGCTAAACTATTTTTTTTTTTTTTTTCGATAACCCTACCTACCCTAAATTTGTCCAACATGTTACAGGAAACGAATACTTTTTTGTCTGGTCTAACAAGCTGAACTCTTACATGTTATGTCGTTGTAGCCCATGTTGGACAGAGTGAGACTTCACCCACATCTCATAACTAGCTCCAGGGACCACGAAATCTCTCCCAAAAGGTAAGTAACCCATCCCCTCATTCAGATCATCTGTCCATATCATGACTTTGTTCCAATACTGCAAGTTTATATTTCAGTCTGAAGAAAACCTGTCTGACTCGAACACAGATGAATTGTCTTATAATAAGAATGGATGATTAGGCTCCAACTTACACATCCTTACTGTTTTTTTTACAATACTTAAACATTAGAACTTATCAAACATTTTTTGCCTGAATCTGGGCCTGTATTCATGAAACTATTCTCATGCTCAAGCATGAATTGTGCTCAATTCAACTTGCTTGTAACTTGCATAAATTAAGTGTCACAATCAAAAAGTCAAGTGTTATCATTGAAAACTGTATTCAGTTAATAGACAAATTTTTCTATATTTTTGACAAAATGTGATTTGATTTATAAATTTATCTTGAAACAAGAAATTTGGTTTGAGCACAGAATGTGAATTTGAGCATGAGAATACGAGCCCTTATGATTTTGAGTTCAGTAGGTTTTATAAACATGTATAAGAAACACAAATCGGTCCCAAAATAATATACTATTGGATATGTTATAGTAAAAGGTGACTTTTCGGAATTTATCAGGTGATAGAACCTCTAGTGATCTGTATACACGTTCCTACAGGTGGCGCCAGATGGAGGCCCAGGATGTGGTCATTGAGTGTGCCAAGATGTCTCTAGACATGACTGAGGGAATGTGGGAAGAGTTGACATGTCCCATCCTCACTCCCCGTCACATGGTGTTCCAACCCTCCGCCAAGAAACCTTCACTCAAATTGGTCACTCCTGAGCAAGGTAAAAATCGTCTCCAAACTTGTCACACCTGTACACCTGACACAAGTTAAAAAAAAGTCCTTAATAATGCATATAAAAAGTCTGCAATGATGCACCTGCAACAGGTAAGAATTCCTCAGCCACATTCGCTACACCTGACACAGGTAAAAATAAATACTCCATGATGCTAGTCGTACCTGACAAAGGTAGAGATCTTCAAACACACAGATCACACCTGAAGTGAGTAAGAAATACTCATATTCCGCAAATAGGTGTTTATTAACCTAGTGTTTGTGATTTTGTAGTAAAACTCATTAAAAAAAATGCTTTACGGGCCAATTCATATATAAAAGATATTTAATGGTTTTCCCGTTAAATAACATTAATACTTCATTGATACACTTGTTTGGTTACACTTGTAAAAAATATCGGTACATTTTTGCTGCACGGGTGAAACATAAGTAGTGTGTAGCGTTGAATGGGAAATTGTTTTTCATTGAATTAATCATGAAAGCATTTTGAATTCCACATTTGCTAAAACAGAAAGTTAATTTCAACCTATTCCACATTTATGGTACAAGCAGGATGAAATGAGTGATTGAGGAGTTTGGAGTACTAGGGGGTATGTGGAAATGAGTGATTGAGGAGTTTGTAGTACTAGGGGGCATGTGGAAATGAGTGATTGAGGAGTTTGTAGTACTAGGGCGTATGTGGAAATGAGTGATTGAGGAGTTTGTAGTACTAGGGGGTATGTGGATGTACATTGGACTCTAAGAGCTTCATACTTGCTAATGTTCTATTTTGCTGTTTTAAATATGAAGTTATAATGTATGTCTGTTCTAGATGGAACTGCGATGAATGCAACTCACCAGCTATACCTGGCCTCACAGGAGCTGAGCCCTCCCTGTCTGACCTCAGGGGCTGACGGGATGGGGCTGTGGAGTCCCTCTGTAGTTGTCGGGCTCTCCACACCACCACCCTCCCAGCAGACCACGCCTTACTCCAACAGCTACCATGATACCAGCAGATGTAAGATTATTTAGTGTATTCGTAAAACACCAGACACCAGCTATTATTGTTTTTTTCAAAATATCATAATTGATTTATTCTTAGTGGTTTTTAATGGCTGATGAGATTATGTGTAACAGTGATATTTATGGTAACAGTGATATTTATGTTAATAATTTGTCTAAAAAAAAATGTGTGAAATAAGTTTTGCTCAAGAAGAACCTGGTAATTTCAATTTAAGAGTAATGGGGTCGGGTGTGTAAGTAGTTTAACAACAGCTAATATATCACTGGTCTTGATTTCTGCTTACAGATAATTATGGTAACACTCCCTCGGCAACTCCGCCTGTGGATACACCCAGAGCTACATCTCCCAATAACGATGATTTGGACAAGGTGTGCATTAATGGGTTTTTTTGCATGCTGAACCAAAACCTTCTCATTGTGTACTGTGGATGTCCAATATAATCATATTTTAATAAACATATGGCTATGGATTAAATTTATAATCAAATTTTACCTCTAATAATCTGAGTTTGACAACAAATACAACAATGTTTCTTATTATCAGACTTTGGATGACAAATGTAATATGGTTATATTTTGACAAATTCAGTCGTAATCCATCTTACCTGACTTCTGATCACTAATACTGCCATGACTTTGGACAACCAATACAGCTACTTTCAGCTTTCCTGACTTTAGACAACCATTAGGGCTAAACCATTGAGTAGAATACAAGGTATGGCAACAACTGGCCTCCTCTTGATTGGGAATACGATTTTACTCTGGTATTTTTGTATTGTGTTCATTTCCAGTATGTGCTCTAATTGTTTCAGAGTTTTAGTAGAACAAGTAGCCGAAGTCTCCTTACTGCTAAGGGAAGTGAGCTGAAGCGACTCAGCACTGGCTCCGCGGTGTCCGCCAAGGCTGGAGGGGCATCTGTCACAGACGGAAAGCCAACAAGTGTTCCCCCCTCTCCACTCAGAGCCGAATTTACCTCAGACCCCCCACAGGGCCCCGGCATATTCAAACCGGTTCGCCCGGCCATCAGGTACCTTACTTGTACAAGATTTTATAAAATGTACAAACAAATGAAGTTAGCTGTGGGTCTCTATGGGGAAATTGAACTGCAAGAAATAAACAGCTGGTTTGGTTTTATATGGTTTAACATTCTATTGATGGCTAAGGTCATTTAAGGACGTGATAAATAGCTGGTCTTTTAATTGGGGTGGTTAATGGTAAAAAAATAACACTATATAAAGACATGAATGTTTTGTAAACCCATTAGTATTCCAATTAGAGTTCTTATTATTTTAATTTCTTGAGCCAAAAATATAATTTTCCATTTGAAAAACTGATACACTGGTATATATTTTTTTCTTAGTTCAAATTTTTTATGGATTGTCTTCACATTTCAAAGACATCACAAACCATTATACAAATGTACAATATACACAATACATTACAATCACACTCAGCATCTATCTTATATAACATGTGTACATCATTTGTCATCAAGTAATGATGGAATAGCACACTGATATTGTACTTTTTGCTAGAAATAAAATGTATAGTCTAGGCATAAGACAATCGCTATTACACTGGCATAAAGTTAATCACTTATCATGTTTATACAATGCCAGAGAACTCAAATTTTATCCCATCACGGAGGGTCAACAATCACTGGATCAGGAGAGAACCGAGTCAGCAAAGGAGTTGGCTGAATGTGAAAGGCCAGATTTAATGGAGTCCTTCTCAATGGATACTCTCCCGCGTGTCATGGAGGATTTAGCCGGGCAAAGAGAGAGTAAGTGTGTTAGACGTGAACGAAGTAACCAACAGTAAGAAAATGTCATAATACAAGACCTGTCATTGTCAAGTGTGAAATTGAATTACCTTTATTAGGTAACACCTGTGAAATTGTTAAGACTATATAGTATCTTCAAAAATATTAATCAGTTTGGTTATACGTAAAATTAAAATCTTACTTTATACACAAAACAATGAGTACATTAAACATGTAACAACATTTCATGACTGACTGGTCCCTTTGTCAATTAACCAGGAACACACACAGTACAACAAATCAGAATGAACCAGATCATTCTAACACTCAAATCACATTATTAATTGGGACAATGCCAAAATAGTTGAAAGGAAACAACATACAAAAACTAAACAAATCAAAGAAGCTATCGAAATAAGGAGAACTCAAAACATGAGCAGATACGAGGAGGACACCAGCTAATTAGTCATCTGTATACCCACTGCTAACCTGAAAAGGAGAGGGGGCTAGATGTACACCCAACCAGTAACCTATTCGATACAGTGTGTATACTCTTTTTATGTCGAGTGACATATGAAGATTACAGTTTTGTCACATTGTTGTACAAGTAAACAATACAAATAGCTCATAGCTCCACGAAGGGACCAGGCAGTCTTGAAACATTGCAATGCGTTTAATATGTACATTGTTGTTGTATAAAGTGAATCGTTGATTTTAAGGCCATGAAACAAATTTGTTAATGTTGATTTCGCCCTTCAAATTAATTACTATATGTATTATGTTATTTAATTATATTCTCTGTAATGATAAGTTTGCCTTCATTACAATGATCGAAAAAAAGATTTTTTTTAAATGCAGCTAAAATTTCCTGGTATACAGTAATTATGCACTTCACTACCCAATTTTTGACTTGCATTTTATCTTTAAAAAAACCTGGAATATTATATTACTATTAACACAGTACATGTATAAATCAGAATAGAGGTAGGGAATGCATCACAGAATAAATTTTGCTCTTTTAATAATTTGAAAACCTACTACATGTATTGGTTGTCTATCTTTAGGTTCCTCATAGTTCATATCTATTAAAATGAGACCTATTTTTCATCAGGTTTTAGTCAGGGGTGTGGCTTTGTAAACCATACTGAATTCAGGTTTTAGTCAGGGGTGTGACTATGTAAACCATACTGAATTCAGGAAACGAGAGACAGCATCACTTTCAGAATTTAACACCTAGATTTCCATTCCAGATCCTGATAATGACGACGACAATGATGATGATCAGGAAGTGTCGGAACTAACCAGCCAAACAGCCACACTGACAGCAGAGTCAGTTCAGTTGTTTATGAGAAAGGTGAACAGGATACGTTTCAACAGTCTAACGGCAACCAACAGCATTTCGGAGAAACAGAAGTTTGGTGCACGGTCAAGGTCTTGTCCGCACTTGCCAAAAATAGAATCTCTTGAGTCTGAAGGCGATGAGACTGACTGTGTTTCACGGTCAGCTTCTGCAACTCTTAAAACCATGGCCAGTCCTAAGACGAATGATAAGCTTAGTCCCCTTCAGGACCAAACGATTCTATCTGAGTCATGTCCAAGAATGACCTCAACAAATGGAGTGAAACTTTCGGTGGACAAGACAACTGGTTCAGATTTGTTAACAAGGACAGTGACAAAGGAAAAATCGGTACCATCCTGCCCCGTGATGTCACCTGGTGCTGGCCAGGACCAGTCACCTGATGTTAGTAGTAAGGTGTTGCCAAACATGTTTATAGACATGATGCGGACCATGCTACAGCCAGGGTCCTTATTGTTGTGCCAGAAATGTAACCAGAGCAATGCTGACGGCAGTCCTTTGACAGCATTAGGCAAGTATCTACAGGAAACCTTCGTTATACAGCCACCATTTGTCAGGCTTAATTTGAAATAGTTTGGTGGCATGCAAAGTGGCAAATGAAGCAACAAGCATTATATCAAGGTTTTACTGTATTTGGAACAACACTCGAGGGGGTGCGAGACACAACATCTCTTTTAAGTTGAAAGTACAGTGCAATTTAGATGATTACTGCTGTGAATACTACCGTAGTAGTATATAGAGTCCCCACTAATAGATCATCAACGAATTCTAATGGAGCGTGAAAAACATGGCAGAATCTTCCTTATAGATAATTTATTCAGGCCTATTTGAAACAGTACTGTTTATTAAAACCCAGCTCATTACGCATTAAGAACGTATGATTTTGTAGGTATACTTTAGTCTTAGTTGAATATCTAGTTAATAGAAAAGTTCTATAAAAAATGTTAATGTTGAAACCACAGTATTACAGACTTATTGGGTCATGGGAATAAAGCACTGTAGATTGTAAGCTAGGATCTCACTGGCCATGTATATTACAGGTCCTGCTGGAATGGCCACGTCTTTTTCTCCGCCAGAGTTGCTGGACCGCCATCTCCGTCTGGGAGGTGAGGTACACGCCAAACAGCTGTCTAAGATACCCATCACTAGTCATGACTCCACCAGCTGGACACATTTTGGAGGTAAATGTCAAGTATAGGAGGAATTATAGATTATATAAGTGCCCCAGGTCAGGAGTGACTACTCCAAGTTATTTGATAGATTGGACATTAAATTGTTGTGAAGGTCAAAGATGACAGCTTAAGTCATTTAAACAGGTGAGAAATTGTGAGGCACCTACCACATCTGATTGAGTAAAATCTAAAGATTAAATAGTGTCAGACAGTGGGATAAAAAATTATGCTGATTCTCCCATAGTTGCAATAGGTGTTATCACTCTTGCCCCATGTGTTTTATATACTTTGGAAAATTCTCAGTGTGAGACAATCATTTTGTCAATCATCTTATTAGTCCCCCACCGGTACCTGTCCTTCCGTCTTTCTGTCCTTCTGTTGGAGAAGTTTGTCCAGGACACATCTTCTATACTATTTCACCTGGAGTTATCAGATTTGGTGTACAAGGTCATCTTGGGATGGTGGAGTGCAGAGTGCAAAAATTAGGTCACTGTGACCTATGACTTGACCTTTGACCTTAATTTTTGAGAAGTTTGTCCAGGTCCTATCTTCTGTTCTATTCCACCTGGAGTAGCTAGATTGGTGTACAAGGACGTCTTAGGATGACAGAGTGCAAGAATTAGGTCACTGTGACCCTTTTCCTTTACTTTTGAAAATGCTTGTCCGGGGCATATCTTCTATACTATTTTACCTTGAGGATCCAGATTTGGTGTACAAGGACATTTTGGGATGGCAAGAAGTATGTATTTTCAAGATACTTTCCTAACAGAAGGTACATCCAGACATAAGTGTACTGTTTGTTAAATATAGAAATCATTACCAGTGTGTCCAGGGACTATGGATTGCCTTGCAATACTCTTCCTTGTTCCTCTATACAGTCATCTGTTCTTTTATATCCTCTTTGTGTCCATGTCTTGTGATCTCAATAACTCTCAATTTGTATTTTAAACAACTGTTTTATTAGAAAAGGAAATGAATTTGAGAAATCACATTCTGATCTTCCTGTATTCTGTATCAGGGATGCCTCCAGCAGATGAAGTGAATATTTTGCGGGGACAAATTTTCATGATACAGAACCAACTCATGTACGAGCGACATAAGCGGGAACTTCACGCCAAGAAGAACCGACGTCTGCTCCGCAAAATAGCCAATGCCAAAGCTGTTGAAGAGCAAAACAATGCAATGGTATGTAGATAATTGTATAACTGTTCATTTTCATATACATATATATTTTTAATGAAAAACCAGGTTTAATCTGCATAACTTTGTGATATTACTTCATTAGAAACACCTAACAACAGTGCACATGTCAATATGTTCTTTCATTGAGGAACTGTTGTCTGAAAAGATGTTGGGTAGTTTAAACAATGTATTTCACAATTCTTTGGAAAACAATTTTTGGTTTCTAGTCTGGACTATCAGTATCCATGGCAGAATTCATTTGAATTGTTACTGAATTACTACTGAAAGGGATACTGATGTCTTCAACCCCCTAGAGTTGTGTCAGAAAGTTTAAGTCAAAAATGTTTTATCACATATGCCTATTGTTTTGTATTGGAATTTGATCTAATATTTCAGTCTGACCAGCTGAGCCAATATGAAAGGGAAATTCAAAATATGCAGCTTTCCCTGCATCTTCTACAAGAAGAAAATCGGCGCTATAAAGAGTCGCAAGAGAGCAACGAATACGAAAGTAAAGTACAAATGAGGTGAGGTCACGAGATGTGAATACATTCTGCTGAGAGAAACATTCAGCAATATCACCCTCATCTACAATAAGCAGCTGCAATGCACATTTTTTTTCTGTGCTATTTATCATAAAATCCTAAGATCAAATTTCTAATAAAGTATTTTTTATTTTTTTTATTTTTTTTAAGCTCACCTGTCCTAAGAGCAAGTGAACTTATGCCATTGTGTGTCTTCCGTCTGTCCGTCAACTTTTTCTTTAAAACGCTATTTTTTCCTGAATGGCTTAGTGGATTTTAACTAGATTTGGTCTGGAGCTTCTTCGGCCAAGGAGACTCAGTTTTGTATAAACGGTGGGTGTGGCCCCCCTAAGGGGCAGAAGGGTTTGGCCGAATAGGGGAAACATAGGTAAACCTATAAAATCCTTCTTCTACCATAGGGATTAAGGGATTTTATTCTTATTCAGTCTGGAGCATCATTGAGCCAAGGGGACTCAATTTTGTCATAAAAATGGTGGGTGAGGCCTCATTGGGGGCAGAGGGGTGGGTCTGAATATGAGCAATAGAGGTAAACCTTTAAAACCCTTCTTCTACCATAGGGATTAAGGGATTTTATCCAAATTTGGTGTGTAGGAACCTTGGGTTAATGGGACTCACTTTTGTATAAACAGTGGGTGTGGCCCCCAGGGCAGAGGGGCTGGGCTCAGTAGGGGAAATACAGTAGTGGTAAAACCTTTGAAATCCTTCTTCTACCATAGGGATTATGGGATTTTATCCCAATTTTGTCCTCATGAAGTTGAGTAGTAGTGCCTGTTACTATAAGGGTGTATTCATTAGAACAAAATGGCCACCAGGGCACCAACTTGGATTTTGACATTTGAAGTTAGTTCTAGCTATATCTCCAGAAATACTGGATAGATCTTTCTGAAATTTCATATGTTCATACAGTTCCTACAATTGGCAATAAAGTGTTATATCTTTATCTCATAACAAGTACTTTAAACATGTCCAGATGAGGGATACATGCCCTTTGGGCCTCTTGTTTGGTTTAATGCTGTTATACTTGAACATTTGTTTTCTCAATAAACCCTGTAGATCCTGCTTGGCAGAGAATGAGGACTTGAAATCAGCAAAGAGTGAGCTGACAACACTGTTAGTAAGGCAGAGAGAAGAACAGGACTTACTGAAACAGGTAACTATAACAACAAATGTTCTTGAAAATAAATTACATTGGCTTTTTCTCAAGATCATGAAGGATGTGTGTCAAATGATGTAACAGCTTATGAAATATGTGTCCTAGACTAGTTGTATGTAGTCTGTAGCTTGCCTGGAGGAAGAGCAATAATATTTGTTTAAAAAATTGATATTGACCCTCCTTTCTGTCAGCTCCAGTTCAAGATGAGGGATACACACACCTGGTGACGTTTGTACTTGTGACACAGGCACAATTGTCAATACAGTAGTAATAACTGTGTGATCCTGTTTTATTATTACATCCCTTGATTAACTATTAATTAATATTTCCTGGTGTTTTCAGCGCTTACAGGAAACAGAATCAAAGCTTTTCAAATCTGACAAGGAGAAATGTCACCTACAGGAGGAGGTGCAGTTCACACAAAAACTGAAAGAGCAGGTATGTAAAAACAAGCAAACGGTACATGTGCTACATTTGGTGTAGAAAGACCCTCAGTCTTACCAGTATCACAACAGAAAATCTTAAATCCTTTATATGAATACCAAAATATTTCACTGTTTTGATGTTTTCATGACGTCAGCCTTGCAACCGAAGGCTGAAGTCAAGAGAATGATGTACTTTACTAAGGTTTATGTTTAAGTTGTGAAGGGAACTATTTGTTGACTGGATGTTATCAATGTTATAGGTGTTCACGCTACATAAGGAGGTACTACTGATGGGAGAACTACACCAGCATTACCAGGAGCAGATCAACTCAGCTAGGATCCACTCCAAAACCAAGCATGAACAGGACCTCCATGTCATGTCCCAGACAGCCGAGATCACAGGTACTGCTCATCTGTTAGGGTCTGGTTGGATCATTACCATGTCATGTCCCAGACAGCCGAGATCACAGGTACTGCTCATCTGTTAGGGTCTGGTTGGATCATTACCATGTCATGTCCCAGACAGCCGAGATCACAGGTACTGCTCATCTGTTAGGGTCTGGTTGGATCATTACCATGTCATGTCCCAGACAGCCGAGATCACAGGTACTGCTCATCTGTTAGGGTCTGGTTGGATCATTACCATGTCATGTCCCAGACAGCCGAGATCACAGGTACTGCTCATCTGTTAGGGTCTGGTTGGATCATTACCATGTCATGTCCCAGACAGCCGAGATCACAGGTACTGCTCATCTGTTAGGGTCTGGTTGGATCATTACCATGTCATGTCCCAGACAGCCGAGATCACAGGTACTGCTCATCTGTTAGGGTCTGGTTGGATCATTACCATGTCATGTCCCAGACAGCCGAGATCACAGGTACTGCTCATCTGTTAGGGTCTGGTTGGATCATTACCATGTCATGTCCCAGACAGCCGAGATCACAGGTACTGCTCATCTGTTAGGGTCTGGTTGGATCATTACCATGTCATGTCCCAGACAGCCGAGATCACAGGTACTGCTCATCTGTTAGGGTCTGGTTGGATCATTACCATGTCATGTCCCAGACAGCCGAGATCACAGGTACTGCTCATCTGTTAGGGTCTGGTTGGATCATTACCATGTCATGTCCCAGACAGCCGAGATCACAGGTACTGCTCATCTGTTAGGGTCTGGTTGGATCATTACCATGTCATGTCCCAGACAGCCGAGATCACAGGTACTGCTCATCTGTTAGGGTCTGGTTGGATCATTACCATGTCATGTCCCAGACAGCCAAGATCACAGGTACTGCTCATCTGTTAGGGTCCGGTTGGATCATTATCATGTTGAGGTTGGTGATTTATGATGTTGACTTGGTCTTACTTTTTCCAGAAACATCAGGTTCATATTAATTTTATGATGTCATTTCAATTGTGATGTCACAATGCTTTTTGTCAAATGCAATACTTTCTTCCATACACTTTTCAGATGTTAAATTATTGTTAAGCATCAAATATAACAATAAAAGACTTTTAATTGAAAATATGTGGTTATATGGAACTGATAATGTGATATTGACCTGGACTTCGTGTCAGTTAATATCACTTTCTCAGGTTCATATAACCATATATATTGACCTCAAGAAAAGTCCATAATTGTTAAGTATAAGCTAAGAGAGGTCACTTGTAATTTTCAACTGTTAAAGTCTGTTACTGCTTACATTAAAAGATTTTTGGTATTCTTTAATCTGATTTGGTTTAATTTTAGCATTAAAGAAGGCATTAAAAAGTGTAACCTTGACGGGTGAGGCGAGCCAGGCACGTGTCAATCAACTGGAAGCTACTGTCAAAACTAAGGTAAGGAACCAGTCACTGATACATCATATCTATATAATAGTGCATATGATTGGATATTATGGATCATATGACTACAAAAGACAACATGTCTCCTGGACCAGATTTGCCCTCATAAAACATTGTTAATCTCAGGAGAACAAAGAATCATGTATCCCTACAATGTTTCCCTTAGTATGGAAATGCTTAAGACCCCATAACCATATTATACAGTTGTGGAGCATGAAGAAACAAAGATGATCATGCTGTTGGAATGATCCCAGGGGTCTGGCCCAGCCCCTTTAGACTTAGTCCCTCGGTTCTAACATGGACATGTTTGAGTTTCCCACACTAAAACCATATAATTACATAACTGCTTGACATGAAGAGATGAATACTCAGCATTTGCCTCAGTGTACTTAGTCATTTGGTCATAAGATAGAAGTGATCAGATCACCATGCATCTTATTACCATATCAGTGATTGCTGTGTGCATGAAGAGAACACTTTCGTGCTACAGTGATTAGCCCCGGTTCTTGCCCTACCCTTGGAGATTTCTTTCTAATATAACCTTTAATGACAATGTTTTGTCATGATTGATTAAATATCCAGGTGAGCAATACAGGCCTTGTATGCCTCGTGTTTGTTCTCTGTGGGGAAAATTCCCTTATAAGTTGTTTTGGTAAAAGTGTATTTCTGTATCAAAATATACTCCATACTTAGTTACATGTGGCAATCAGACCTGTTTCTGACTCATTTACTGGATTTGTTGGACAGGACATAGCCTTGGCGGAGATCAAGCAGAGTTTAGCGGATGTGATTACGAACCACCAGGAGGAACTCAAGGTAGGTCACAAGTTAACAGACAGTGTTATCTGATTCATGAGTTTTTGTTGGTAATTTAGTCACGTTTTATTAAATGCTTGGATTCTTTAATAATGCTATTACAGGGGTATCCACTAAAATTTTGTTTTCTTCAATGTATGGCTGTCACAATATGCTGTTAAAGTTAGAGATTTTGCAGTATGTAAATGTTATGTGTTTTGCATTGAGTAAAAACTGCAGAAATATCCACATGTCAACATTTATTACATTTTTTCCATTGAAATCAGATTCTATCATCTTAATAAAACTGATTTCTTTCACACTGTGACAAATATAAAAAGTGATATTTTCAAAATATCACTTTTTGGTAGTGACCAATCATAACGGCACAAACAGTTTCAGTATGGTACACTGCAAGGCAAAGGAATATTTCATCACATCACAATATGAAAGTGAAATATTGCTATCTTGCAATATTTTTCAAAAACTTATTTTTATGTACCTATTAAGTGTTTAACTTCGCATATTACTTTACAGTTTAGCCTATATACCATACACTAGGCTATTATTAGTGGTGAGAATTGGTCAATGATTACTTGTTTTTTAAATAGTTAAATCTGTAGGATCTATATGATACACTTAAAGTCTAACATGACAATCTTACTTAATTGTTAGTTTAAAATTTTATTAGTTGAAATTGTACGTGCTATTAATTAAGCCATTTTGTGTTGAAAGTCTATAGAGGAGAAGTACCAGTGTATGCTGAAGGTCAACCAACAGCTAGAGGGTAAAATCCTACGTCTGTACAGCCAGGTGGACGAACTCGGCAGGCCACGACAGACTAAAGGTACACAACCATTATGTGGCTCTAAAACATCACAATTCTCGTTAAACCATGTATGTCACAACATACTGCATTCATAAAAATTTGTAAAACCTTACTGTCATTTGTTACATCTGAGCTCTATCATACCTCAATATTTCACAACATATCAAACCACAACTATGTCATACCTCAACATGTCACACAACAACTATGTCATACCTCAACATATCACACCACAACTCCATCGTACCTCAACATATCACACCACAACTATGTCATACCTCAACATGTCACACAACAACTATGCCTCAACATATCACACCACAACTCTGTCATACCTCATCATATCACACCACAACTCTGTCATACCTCAACATGTCTCACCAGAACTCTGTCATACCTCAACATGTCACACCACAACTCCGTCATACCTCAACATATCCCACCACAACCCCATCATACCTCAACATATCACACCACAACTATATCATACCTCAACATATCACACCACAACTATGTCCTACCTCAACATATCACACCACAACTATGTCATACCTCAACATATCACACCACATCTCTGCCATACCTCAACATGTCACACACCAACTATGTCATACCTCAACATATCACACCACAACTCCATCAAACCTCAACATATCACACCACAACTATGTCATACCTCAACATATCACACCACAACTCTGCCATACCTCAACATATCGCACCACAACTCTGTCATACCTAAACATATCATACCACAACTCCGTCATACCTCAACATACCACACCACAACTCCATCATACCTCAACATATCACCCCACAACTATGTCATCCCTCAACATGTCACACCACAACTCTGTCATACCTCAACCTGTCTCACCAGAACTCTGTCATACCTCAACATGTCACACCACAACTCTGTCATACCTCAACATATCCCACCACAACTCCATCATACCTCAACATATCACACAACAACTATGTCATACCTCAACATGTCACACCACAACTATGTCATGCCTCAACATATCACACCACAACTCTGTTAAACCTCAACATATCACACCACAACTCTGTCATACCTCAATATATCACACCACAACTCTGTCATACCTCAACATTTTACACCACCACTCCAGCATACCTCAACATATCACACCACAACTCTGCCATACCTCAACATATCGCACCACAACTCTGTCATACCTCAACATATCACAACACAACTCCATCATACCTCAACATATCACACCACAACTCCGTCATACCTCAACATATCACACCACGACTCCATCATACCTCAACATATCACACCACAACCATGTCATACCTCAACATATCACACCACAACTCCATCATGCCTCAACATATCACACCACAACTATATCATACCTCAACATATCACACCACAACTATGTCATACCTCAACATGTCATACCACAACTCTGTCATACCTCAACATGTCACACAGCAACTATGTCATACCTCAACATATCACACCACATCTCTGCCATACCTCAACATGTCACACACCAACTATGTCATACCTCAACATATCACACCACAACTATGTCATACCTCAACATATCACACCACATCTCTGCCATACCTCAACATGTCACACACCAACTATGTCATACCTCAACATATCACACCACAACTCTGTCATACCTCAACATATCGCACCACAACTCTGTCATACCTCAACATATCATACCACAACTTCGTCATACCTCAATATATCATACCACAACTCCGTCATACCTCAACATATCACACCACAACTCCATCATACCTCAACATATCACACCACAACTCTGTCATACCTCAATATATCACACCACAACTCTGTCATACATCAACATATTACACCACAACTCCATCATACCTCAACATATCACCCCACAAGTCTGTCATACCTCATCATATCACACCACAACTCTGTCATACCTCAACATATCATACCATAACTCTGTCATACCTCAACATATCGCACCACAACTCTGTCATACCTCAACATATCACACCACAACTCTGCCATACCTCAATATATCACACCACAACTCTGTCATACCTCAACATATTACACCACAACTCCATCATACCTCAACATATCACACCACAAGTCTGTCATACCTCATCATATCACACCACAACTCTGTCATACCTCAACATATCACACCACAACTCTGTCATACCTCAACATATCACACCACAACTCTGTCATACCTCAA